CACTGGTTAGAGTTTTAATCTTTTTTACAGCATATGCTGCAGAACTAAGTCTGCTTGCTAGTTTTGATATATGGGGGCTCCATTGAAGCTTCGCGTCTAGTGTGATTCCAAGAAAAAAACGACAACCAACCACGCATGAATATTCTTTTTTTTTAAACTTTAAACGCTATTTTAAGGGTGCGTTTGCAAATCGGGCCAAATTATGCTGTTTTTCGGTACATTTTGTGACAAAACTAAAGCAAATCAAATATAACTAATAACTACAACGTATAGAATGGTTCTTTATCTTCAAATGGTGGTAACTTTCTTTTTGAAAATAATAGTTTTTTACATTGTAAAAAGGATCTTCCCTAGCCATTTACTACAAAATTAACGATACCGGCTCATATTTCGGTACATTTTTTGTTCTATTATCAACATATATTAAGATTTCTAAAAATACTGTAAGTAGGCAGACATATTCAATAAAAAATGCTGGTGATTACTTTTTATCAAAATGTCACAAATAGTCGTAAAAAAAATAAAAACTGATTCTTATTTTTTGACATATTTTGCTGATACGGATGAATCCTAATGGATTGCAATAAGGGTTATTTTATTTTTAGTGTCAGTTTTGATTTGTTGTACAAAAATTTCGATGAAACCACAGTCGGCGCTCGGCCGCCATCGCGGGTGGTCGCTGTATCGCCTGCAGCAGCTGAAAAAGATCGCTGTACAAACACAAAATATTCGAATTTGATACATATAGGTACATGACCTGACAAAGTAAAATAATACATACATAATATAAATATTTTTATAATCACAAATTCTTATTATAATGTTTTGTTTCGCTAAAAGCAAGTGGGATTTATAATATATAAATATATATAAATCCTATAAATCCTAGTGTACTTTATGGAGTGATCTGAAAGTATACGGTGAATGCTACTAGAACTCCTCGACGAGTTGAACTAGGTGTGACGAGTTTAGGCTCATTATGTTAGTTATGACCAGACCTTACCACCGGACTTGAAGGAATGACCTGAAGGTGTACTTCGGTAACTGCTAGTGGAACTCCTGGACGAGTAGAACTAAGTATGCCAAGTTTGGGCTCGTTTTGTTAGTTACGACGAGACCTTACCTCCGGACTTGACAGAATGACCTGATGGTGTACGTTGGTGACTACTACTGCAACTCCTGGACGAGTAGAACTAGGTGTGCCGAGTTTGGGCTCGTTTAGTTAGTTATGACGATACCTTACCTCCGAACTTGATGAGAGACCTGATGGTGTTCTTCGTAACTCCTGGAAGAGTAGAACTAGGTGTGCCGAGTTTAGACACGTCGGAGAAAATATAAATGGTATTACCAAATTCAAGGGCAACTGCGCATCATAACTAACAAACTCGGCACACCTAGTTCTACTCGTCCAGGAGTTGCAGTAGTAGTCACCAACGTACACCATCAGGTCATTCTGTCAAGTCCGGAGGTAAGGTCTCGTCGTAACTAACAAAACGAGCCCAAACTTGGCATACCTAGTTCTACTCGTCTAGGAGTTCCAGTAGTAGTCACTAAATTACTCCATCAGGTCTGTCCATCAAGTCCGGAGGTAAGGTTTCGTCATAACTAACATAATGAGCCCTAACTCTGCACACCTAGTTCTACTCGCCCAGGAGTTGCAGTAGTAGTCACTGAAGTACACCATCAGGTCTCTCATCCATTCCGGAGGTAAGATCTCGTCATAACTAACAAAACTAGCCCAAACTCGGCACACCTAGTTCTACTCGTCCAGGAGTTGCAGTAGTAGTCACCAATGTACACCATCAGGTCATTCTGTCAAGTCCGGAGGTAAGGTCTCATCGTAACTAACAAAACGAGCCCATACTACGCATACCTAGTTTTACTCGTCCAGGAGTTGCAGTAGTAGTCACCAACGTACACCATCAGGTCATTCTTTTAATTCCGGAGGTAAGGTTTCATCGTAACTAACAAAACGAGCACAAACTTGGCATACCTAGTTCTACTCGTCCAGGAGTCCCACTAGCAGTTACCGAAGTACACCTTCAGGTCATTCCTTCAAGTCCGGAGGTAAGGTCTCATCGTAACTAACAAAACGAGCCCAAACTTGGCATACCTAGTTCTACTCGTCTAGGAGTTCCAGTAGTAGTCACTAAATTACACCATCAGGTCTGTCCATCAAGTCCGGAGGTAAGGTTTCGTCATAACTAACAAAAAGAGCCCAAACTCGGCACACCTAGTTCTACTCGTCCAGGAGTTCCAGTAGTAGTCACTGAAGTACACCATCAGGTCTCTCCATCAAGTCCGGAGGTAAGGTCTCGTTATAACTAACAAAACGAGCCCAAACACGGCACACCTAGTTCTACTCGTCCAGGAGTTCCAGTAGCAGTCACTGAAGTACACCATCAGGTCTCTCATCAATACCGGAGGTAAGATCTCGTCATAACTAACAAAACGAGCCCAAACTCGGCACACCTAGTTCTACTCGTCCAGGAGTTGCAGTAGTATTCACCAACGTACACTATCAGGTCATTCTGTCAAGTCCGGAGGTAAGGTCTCATCATAACTAACATAATGAGCCCAAACTCGGCACACATGGTACTACTCGTCCTGGACTTCCAGTAGCAGTCACCCAAGTATACCTTCAAGTCACTCACCAAGTTCGGAGCTGGTTATCATAACTAACAAAACCAGCTCAAAGTCCACAGCCAACATCTCACTCCCTGTAGATGGCTTCTAGTACCTAGCTGTCTCTGGAGCAGCCATTTATATTTCGTATAATCTAAGTATATTTTTGTAGGTAATAAGAAATATGAAAAAAAAAACAATCTTTCAATTTATCAAAATGTTTATACTTGATTGCGATTCCCGCAGCTAACCGTGCGTACACTTGTGTGTGTGACCAGTGTCAATGTAATAGTTCGATTCTATACCTATCAATTTTGTAAACGCGTCCTTAAATATATCGATAAATCGATATTTTTTGCCCAAGCTTAATGTGTTAATTAGACTGGTATACACAGTGGAGGTGGGCAAAGTGTATCATTTTTGGGATTGGAACATTTGCATCTTGATCACTGAAATGTTCCGAAACACTGATATGTTTCATTTGGCTCATTTGTATCATCGCCTCAAAAGATAAAAAAGAAAGAATGTTCCGAATAGGTACATTAAGTTGCGTCGCGGGCGTTTATTACTGACTGATCCGTGAAATATTATGTGGCAACCATGCTGAATAATATAAGTGCTTAGATTATTTATTGTGTACCGTAATAAGATTGTATATAAAATCGATTCTCCTTCATACTTTAACAAAAATGTCACTATGTCAATTCATTATTTACAAAAATGTCCATTTACACAAAACAGCAATGTCTATGTACACAGAATTTACTCGTAAAGTATCATAACGTTATTTATTCCTTTTCATCGTAAAGTTATTTACGATGAAAAGGAAGAAAATAAAGTCACAATAATCACTACGCAAAGAAATCCTAAACATAACTCAGTATGTTTTCGTAAACAGGCGCTAATGAATATAAACAATTTGACAAGTGCCGCATCAACGTAAAATGTCAACTTGTTAATGCAAACGTTACATACAAAAAACGACCGTATAGTATTTGACACATAAGCGCCTTAGTGGTAATTTTTACGTGCATGGATAACGTCAGCGAAAATCCGTACGAGTTGAGGATACACTTCTTATTTGTTATCTCTATCTGACTTGTGTGGATTATAATTATTTCGCCCGCTCACTCGCCACTCGTGAGTCAATAGTTAAGTTAATCATTGTCTCAGTCTCTCTCTCTCTCGCTCGTGGCTCAGTCGCCTCGCAAGCGACGCGTCGCGCGAAATGAGCAAAGAGCAAAGTAATGTTTCACTGTTCCAGATACAAATGATACATTTGAAACGTTGTTACTGAACCAATCTTTTGTGTCACTTCAGTGATTCGTATCAGTGAGTCGTTTCCGTAAATAGATCACTGTTGCCGTTTTAGTGCTTTTCGCACTAAATCTAGTGCATTTTTTAGCTCTTCAGCGCTATTTTTCAAAACTAGACGCGCTAAACATAATTTAGTGGAATCTGGTAGAAAATTGAAAAAGATATTGTCAACCTCCAACTAGGCCAAAAAATCAGGGTCCAGAACCAAAAACGTAGAAAAAAATAATATGAGTTCATTTTGGTCGGGTATTCCCCAACAAGAACGTTTGATTTAGTCTATTTTTACATTAAAGGATTTTACTATGGCTATCTCGCTCGTGTTACTAACAGAGAAAAACCGGTTTATTTATCTTATTGCGGCAGGATTTAATGATTTCCAGGATTTAGTGGACCTGCCTACTACTGCTTTGTCGCTTCCACATTCCAATGCTGAGATTGAGCGCATATTCAGCGTAATGAACATTGTCAAGTGCAAGATACGCAACAGAATGTCAGCTGTTACATTGAATTCTATTTTGCTTATACGGCACCAAATGAGATTATTAAAGAAAACTTGCCACACCTACGAATTACCGGAAAATGTCCTGAATAAAATGACGAAAACTAACAAAAAAGGAACTTCAGCTGGCGAAAGTACATCTCAGACAATGACACCTAAAATAATGATGATACTGACCATGAAAATATGACTGAGTTATTGAACATGGTTGATTTTAACAATTAAATAAAATTATTATAAAGCCATTAATTGTGTTTTTCTAATCTTTTCAATTATAACCAAAAAATTTAACCATGCGAAAAGTTTAGTGGATTTTAGCGCTTTTTTAGCTCCGGTTTTTTCAAAATATAGCGCTTTTTTGACAAGAGTTTGGTGGTTTTCTTTTTCATCTAACGGCAACACTGAAAGAGATACACACGCCTACTAGTTTGTGCACACGCCTAATACACAGTAATCTGTGGTGTTAATATTGCGGTTTCGCGTGTGGTTTAATTTATTATTGATAATAGTATTTTACATTGGATTTAAAATCTATTTAATAGAATATCGGCCTGTCGAAATGGATGTAAAATCATTTCTTTTCTCTTGGTGTTCAAAAAAAGGCATAACGCCATTATTCGATATCCGTGGGACAGGTAAGCAACTATTGATTTTATTTCATGTATATTAATTATTCGTGTGTAAATTTATTGCTGTAAAGACATGTAGTATTATTACTTTACACTATTTATTAATGTTATTAAATACATTCCAGAAGGACTTAACTACTCGTACTCCATAGTGTTGAAATGGGAGGTAAACCCCCTCCGCCCCCCCCCCTCATCAAAAATACTTATATGTATTTTTTATAAATTATTAAAATTACATAATTAAGTGGTAATTACGGGGAGAGATGAAGTCCACCCCAGGGTTATAACTCTCTGAAAAATACATTTTACTTCAGAAATCCTGTCAAAAAACACTTTGTTACCAGCCAAATCTGATTTTGAGCTAAGAAAAAAATAGTTTGTTCTTTTTAAATGAAATTGCAATAAACCTTTTATACTTCTACCTGGTAGTAAGTGATGAAACCCTAGATAGTAAATTGTACTGTAACTGTATAATACACTTTTATTTTTACTAAATACTGGTGAAAAGTGATTTTAACTATTAGTCTTGCTCATAATTACTTTTAACCATAATATATTTCAGTCAAAATCTCTTTTTACTAACATTGTAACGAATATTCGGCTACTTCTGTCCTATTCGGTGGTATACTGAATATCTAGGTACTATTCGCTCGAATATAGAATACTTTAGTAAGAGGTTATATTGTAGTCAGATAATTGGTATAATGAAAATGTTTATTTATTTTATAATTTTTTATTTTTTTCTTGTAATCATTAAAATAGTCATAGGTAAATAATAGACTTCCATATTATAAAAATTAAAAAAGATGTATCTGACAAATGTCTATGCATCAAATTATAATAATTAAAGTGGAAGATAATGGTGCAGAAAGACTATTTATTCTTAATTTTCAAGCAGTATATTTAACTTCTTCTCTTCTCGTAGATGATCCCAGATTCAGAGAATAGATGCACTGAAGAATAAACTACTTCCTTTCTGGCCGAATACTTTTGACCTGACTATTCTGCCAGGAAGTCCGGAGTATATTCGATATTTGGCGTGTGGCCGAATATACTATTTGTTGCAAGTCTACTTTTTACCAATATTTTTTCAGTCAAAAATACTTTTGATTTAACTTCTTTTTGCCTAAATACTTTTGACTGTTTTTGTCAGTCAAAATTAGTTTTGAGTACACCCATAGGATGATATGGAAGAGTGAAAATTCTTAAAGCATTATTAAAGTGATAACTAATAAAAAAGTTTCATTTTCATAATAACTGGTAATAGGCATATTTTTCCTTAATACTTGCTGTTATTATAATGCCCTAATTTTTTTATACGTACAATATACGATGACTAACATCATCTAAAGATAACAACTCATAACCTTTCTCAATAAATCTAAGGATAATGCTTCAACCAAAACTAACCATGTGGTCTGTTTCCTCCCTCAAATCCAGTCTGTAACTATTATAATAGGTGCAAATGAAAATTAATAACCACGAATATATAAATATTCAAACATAAAAATTTTATTTTATTAGGGCCAAAACACCGACAAAGATTTCTCTGTGAAGTTCGTGTAGAGGGCTTCACCTACGTGGGTGCTGGCAACTCTGTTACTAAGAAGGAGGCACAAAAAAATGCCTCCAGAGACTTTATTAACTACTTAGTACGGTCTGGTGAGCTATCTGCTGGTGAAGTACCTGAAGATGTTAATGTTAAGCCCGAACAAGAAGATGTTGGAAACCAAGTTTCTGAACAATCCCAACAGCCTAGACCAGTGTTTCAGGTAAGCTATATCAACATAATACCTAGTACAAAGTTTTGCTTTTGCCTTCATCCCATACTATAGAGTCGTAGAGAGTGGAAGCACAGCAACAAAGTCAGCAGGATATGCAATTGTCAAGCATTACTTCATCAAATAAACTTAATATGTAATGTCATCAGAATAAATAACTTAGTGTTTTATACTGCTGCAATATGCCAGGTTATAAGGCTAATTATGAATCGTCTTTTAATATTATGTCATAGGAAATAACCATGAACAAATGTGGCTGATAAAAAGTCAAATGTGCGTCACATATTCAATTTAACATAATTCTCAATCAATGGATCCTAATGTTTTTTATAAAGATTATTTTAAAATTTTGATTATCAAAAATATTTTTTAAATAAAATTCACTTTCATTAATGGCAATTTTAACTTTAACAATTAGGCTACTTTGAACATCTATTTTCGTAAAAGTAGGGGCAAACTTAATAAAAATGGATGATGAAAGAATTAAGTTAAAAATAAAGTATATAATGTCAAAATTATACAAAAACTTAAAGGTAAAAAATTACATCTTTATATATAAAAGTTATGTGTCACATTGTTTGTCCATGATGAACTCCTAAACTACAGAAATTATTTTAATGAAATTTCACACACTGTGTGCAGTTTGGTCCAACTTGAGAGATAGGATACTTTTTATCCCAATAAATGACTTTCAATATTTTTTGTTGTGAATTTAAGGATTTTTTTATAGGAAGGATCGTCGGAAAGGGCAGAACAACATCTGCCTAGCCAGCTAGTATGCCATAAAATCCAATCCACTGAGAAATTTAAGCAGTTTTCAAAACCATTGTCAAGCACAAAAAGTTCGTGCCATCGCCATCGCTTGCTACCCTACTCATGGCTATTATATTTTTAACTTATGTAGAAGTTGAGGTTAACTTAACTAAGATACTGATTGTATTACAGGAAGGAATGGGCCCACAAAGTATGGGTCAGGCATACCATGCCATTGGTGGCCAAAGCCAAAACTTCACTTACATGGATCGTCTGCAACAACAGAAGAATGTAGAAGATGCTGAGGATCTTGATGTGAATGCTAGCCTTCATGGCAATTGGACAATGGAAAATGCAAAGTCAAAACTTCATCAATTTATGCAGATGAATAAAATTAATGCTGATTATATGTACAAGGCTGTAGGTCCTGATCACACACGGTTTGTCTTTTTTATTATATTATTTCAATTATAATAATTTTAATGGCAAAAATTTTCTTTGACATTATATTGATTATTGACTATTCACTACTACACTGTCAGCTCAGTGGTGAGTGTGGGGATATTTATGTAGTTAATACTTAAAAGGCTTATATGCAGCATTGGAATAGCAAGCTATTAAAGTTTATACTACCTTAGAGTTCTTTAAATATGTAAAATTTGTACTAAAGTGCTATTTGTGTAAGTTAAAAGTGAGTGACTATAGCACGAGGGATGTCAAAGGGGCGATTAGTTTACAGAGGTAATAAAAATTTAGGGCAGTTAAAATCTATGGGTTGTTTCTCTATTTTAAACCTCACAACGACAATTCTCCCTAATCCTGAGCGGAGCAAGGTGAACCCTCATTAAATAAAAAACCAGGGTCTTGATGGTTCCAGAGAGGTGACTAGTGTATTTAATTGAAGGCTAATTTGAATAGCCTAAGGAGGCTGGTCTGTGTATGCTAAAGAACACACAGACCAGCTGTCGCTTAACCAAGTGACATGTAGTTTTTTTCTGATTTTTACCAGAACTGTTATAACCTAGACTATCGCCTGATACCATGACGTTAATTATCCGGACATTCTGCATAAGTCGTTATTTGTTAAAAGTTGGATGACATGGGAACGATACATCTATGATTTTTTTCTTAAAAGTTCATTAAATTAAATTAATAATTAAACTATTTGCATAAATTATATAGTCTTTTTCTTCTTTATCAACCCATGATAGTCGTCATGTGGTGGCAGTGTAAGAGACTATCACCTCATTTCATCCTGTGGGTGCCGTAAGAGGCGACAATGGAAAATTCCATAAAAATCTTGGACGCAGTAGCCACTTACCATCAAGTGGACTGTGAGCTTTGTTGGTCACTTGTATAAGAAAAGGACAATGCTCTCTCAGAATACTAGCATAATATAGTAACTTATTACTGGCTGTTTCATATGATGAATTACACACTACATGGCATTTATTTCTTCAAGTTGTAGGTTCCTTCTTGTCATCCTAATGCTTATAATATGTATAATTAATTTTATCTTTTCACACCAACGGTAGAGAAATGAAAAAAAAACTCCATCACAAGTTACTAAAAAAGTGCCTGAAAAGACCAATTATTCATACTTGGCTGTCAATTTATTTCTGTGTTCTTTCCTCAATGTTTTACCACCACATTCCCATTACTTTTATTTTTATAGCTTTTAATAAGCCACTGATTATTCATAGTTGTTGAAAAATCAATGGCTGACAGTTTTTGTAGAGGCGCTGGATCTGAGGCCAAGTATTGTGCAAAGCTGACACTGATATAAAATGAAAGTTTTGTGTTTTGATTTTGTTACTTACATACTAAAAGTTATATTAGTATGTGGGTAATAAATAATAATAATTTCAAATATCAGTATCAGATGTGTACTAAAAGAAGCAAATTTTGCAAAACTAAGCAATCTTAGCTTCTATGATTAATAAGTCAATTTAGAGAGACAGTGAGACCTAAAAGTTATAAATTTGTTTTCTAAAAATATAATATTTGTGTGTATGTATATAATATTCATTTAAAATATGTTTATGTGAATAGAATTGAAATCAGATTAATAGTTATAACTATTTTTAATATGATATTAAACAAATTTAATTGCTTTAACTTTACTGAATAATCCAACATAACATTTAAAAATACTAAAACAAGATCAAATTAATTGATTTTGTTTTGGGTACAGGTTGCAAAAGATCTCTCTAAATTGACCGTATATTTGGCCACAGATCCAGGATGTTCGTTGCACTACTATAAACTTCAAAGTAAGTATAATATTTAGAGCTGCATGCCTTTATTTATTTATTAATGCAATCCTTTCTCCATTATTGTGTTAATAGTATCGTATTATGATTTACTGCATGAATTTTATTTCACATGTATTAACTCATACAAACTTTTTTAATCAAATTCTATGCTTAAAGTTTATATGTGATACTAATTTTTTAATATGCTACACCCAACAATACACCTTTTCAAAAACAATCCTTTATCCAATCTTAATACATAACTTATATGATTCAGATTTAAACACTAATCTTTGTTTCTAATATGATTCTGTACTTATGTATAACATGTGTATCATATTTCGACATTAGAACCATCGTTTTTAAGTTTGCCTTTGATAGTTTTTTTGTTTGTATAAAAATATGGATTTTAAGATGAAAAAAGATCATACATGAATAGAATATAATCATTTCTATTCAATATAGATTACATGTAATGCTATTGTTTATTGTCTTATCGACTATAGAAAACTAAGTTTTTGAATTACGATTGTTTTGAAAAATTATATGAAATTGCTAAAATCTAAAAAGTTAATCACAATGTGTAATACTTACTTAAGTTTATTATAAGAACTTTGTATATACTTAAATATAACTTATAGGAGTTTCTGCTGTGAAATGACAATTTTTGTGAGGGAGTTGGGACGTAATGTGACTGGACGGGAGACTGCTTCTAACAAACAGACTGCAAGCAAGTCTTGTGCTCTGTCTATTGTGCGACAATTGTACCATCTTGGAGTTATTGAGGCATTTAGCGGCACTTTGAAGAAAGACAGGTAATTACAAAATAATGTCTGAATTTATTTAATTAAATTAGATATAATTTTTGGTAGCTTTTTTATTGCAATTTCGAATTTTTTTCATATTGTTAATAGTATGGAGTACAGCAATAGCTTACTGCTCAGTATTGAAGTCAACTGTTCTTTATATAGTATAGGCTTAAAAATGTTTTGGTGTGACACATTGCTTGTAGAATAATACTTTATTACAATATATTTAAAGCTATTGCTTAATAGTAAGTGTAAAGATTTCAATATGTGTACAAGAAGTGTTTGTGGCTTTGATACTTCTATAATTATTTTAAAATGATATTCAATATCATGGTAAAAATCTACCTAATGTTAACATATTATTTAAACAATCTTTTAGTATATTACTAATGTTAATACACATTTAGTAGTAGTTAAACAAAGATACTGTTTCAGGTCTTCTGAAGGTCTCATGAAACCATATCCAGTTGCAATAAGTCCACAACTTGAGGAACAAATTGAGGAAACTTTGGAAGGTATGCTGTGTTCTTAATTAACAATTTACAAATGTTTTTATTATAGAAACTTGAGTGCTATTAATGTATTATGTGGCAACACGAATTGTTGAGCTCGACCGCAAAGTTCTACACTCGCACCGAATACCAGCGAAGAGCAACTAGCAAGTGTGTGTGTGTGCGTGCGTGCGTGTGTGTGTGTGTGTGTGTGTGTGTGTGTGTGTGTGTGTGTGTGTGTGTGTGTGTGTGTGTGTGTGCACGCGCGCGTGAGTGCGTGCGTGTGTGTGTGTGTGTACGTGCGTGCGTGTGTGTGTGTGTGTGTGCGCGCGCGCGCGTGAGTGCGTGCGCGTGTGTGTGTGTGTGTGTGTGTGTGTACGTGCGTGCTGGTGTGTGTGTGTGTGTGTGTGTGTGCGTGCGTGCGCGTGCGTGCGTGTGTGTGTGTGTGAGGGTGCGCGCGCGCACCCTGCTAAAAAAGCTAAAAAAAGTTTTTTAAATATTTGTTTAGATTTGGGGATTGAACCAGTCAATGTAGAAACAGCTGCAAGTCAACCTACCCCAGAAGGCCAGGAAGGACCTGTAGCTGTGACATTACTGCAGGTGGACCGAGTGAAAGCTATGAGAGAAGCCAGACCCACCCCTGGTGGAGTGGTATCTTGGTCGCCGCCACAGCAAAACTGGAATGCGTGGACTGGTTGTAATATTGGTAAGTTTTTTAATGACTCAACAATTTATTGATATCTGGAGATCCTTCGATCCATCATATTCTCCAGAACTTGTTTGGGCAGTTTTCAAAGTTTAGATAGCTTTTTGATAGGAAAAAAATTTCAATTCCGAATGATGAAAGTGACATTGCTTATTTTCTATAATGTAATAAATTTTTCTATAGTAATACCTAATTCTATGACAAGACTTGGCTCATGCACAAAGAAGTGGCGTCGCTACGCATTAGAATTTGTCTGTCTATTTTCTATAATGTAATAAATTTTTCTATAGTAATACCTAATTCTATGACAAGACTTGGCTCATGCACAAAGAAGTGGCGTCGCTACGCATTAGAATTTGTCTGTCTACAGCACCACATAAAGCTTTCAACATCATTTGTTGCATGCAGATGATGAGCTTTCATGGTCACTCCAATTGTCCAATTGACGGCTCCGTGGCGCACTGGCTTAGCAATGAGTTGCTGCGCTGGGGGGCGCGGGTTCGAATCCCGCACGGAACAAATATTTGTATGGCCTATAAATGATTGTTCCGGGTCTGGATGTTTGTCCTTGTGAAATTTGTGTTTGTAAACTGCCTCCACGATACAGGAGAAAATCTTAGTGTGGGGGTAATGTTTTCAAAAAAAAAAAATTAATTGCATCCTTGTCGGTGGACAAAATGATAATCCGTGGCTACAAGGCCCCGAAATGTCGCACGGGGTGTTACCACATACTGGTCATTTGAAGTGTTTGCATATCAATTAGTAAGAGGTGGCCACCACAGCCATATAATTTAGATTACCACACTTGAAAAATTGATTATACAGCCATGTTCTACAAGGTGTTCAATAGGAAAATAAATAAGAACTTAAACCGATCCTGCATTGACAATTATAATTAGAAGGGTTATTTTTGCATATTAATTAGTAAGAGATGGCCACCACCGCCATATAATTTAAATAAATAACTTGAAAAATTGATTATACAAGGTGTTCAATAGGAAAATGAATAAGAACTTAAACCGACCCTGGACTGACTATTATAATTAGAAGGGTAATTTTTGCATATTAATTAGAAAGAGATGATCACCAACCATTATAATTATCCTTTTTTATAGATGAAGGTCCACTTGCGACTTCTAGCTTGGACGACATAAGCATTGACTTAGAGAAACATCACAGAGATGCTAATCAAAACAGTCAACTTTACCAGGTAAGAAATTGTATATTGAAGATTCTTGACTATATTTACTTAGATTATTTCACTATTTATACTTTTTTATAGGAAAGCATGCGAGAAAGGGAGCAGTTGCCAGTATACGCAATGCGATCTGAAATAATGGAAGCCATTAATGACAACTCTGTTGTTATAATCAGGGGCAATACTGGTTGCGGTAAAACAACACAGGTTTGTAGTAGAAATATTTTTAGACTTGAATATTTAATATTTTTATTAACTTTCCTATCTATGGAATAGATTCTTTATAAAAATCATTGTTTTTAAATCAGCTGTTTTTGTCAGTGTTTGTTATCTATTTATGATTGTGTATTAGTACATAGATTGTTAATTGTTACTAGTTTTTGATATCTAGTAAAAGTCCTAAAATATTTTATATTCCCAATATTTAATTAATTTAATTTTTATTTTTCCCATATATTTTCATTTTTGATTTTAGAATGAAATTTTCTTTTGTTATCACTCTAGAAAGAAATATCTTCTACACTACATACATTTTTGATTGCATATGCGTTATTTGTAATTTAACAGGCTTTATTAACTTGTTCTACAATGTATTAATGAATATTATGGTATTTTCAATTTGTTTGCTTCTACTAACGGATGTAGGAATAATCTGAATTGTTGCAGACATATTCAGAACTGACGACATTACAATAATTTTTGACTATGACCTAGTAACTCACTAGGATCGTCACAGCTCATAATCAAAAAACACGTTTTTAGTTTTTTTTAGGCTCTAATTATATATAAATGCGCTCATGTGTTGCGCAATGTATGTCACTTTATCTAAACTATGGTTAGGTAAGGACTTTTCTTGCACCAATATTTATAACTTCACATACAATATTACAATATAACCTATTGATTTCATTTCCTAAATACTGCAATGCATTGGAAAAAAAAAGGATATTTTCCCAATTTGTTTAGAGAAAACCTCAGTTTATTTCGGTGGGAGTGATTGGCCATTATACGTCGGTGTATGACCTCGAAAACCAATCGGAGCGGTTTCGCGCATATACTAGCACTACACTATATCGTCGTGTCGGCGAAAGAAGACAATAGTTTTTGGGCCCACTAGAAATTTAAACGTAACTTAATTTTATTACACATAAAAGAAGATACCAATTTATTATAGTAAACGGCCTAAAGATTTTATGAAAATCTAACTGGAATCATAAAATCTGAAAAAAAAAAGTTGTTTTGATATTCGTGTTCTGGCTAATGTAATATGAAAAAATTACAATTGCCAAAAAGTTAATTTCTCAGTATTCCCGTTAGATACTGTAAAACTAATATTACCATTGTAATCTATAGGTTATAGGAATAAATCGACATGTATTTCATTAAGTTACGGCTCAATTTGTGGTGGGCCCATTCTTCACACAAAAAGAAATTGTCTACTTTAGCCCACATTTGACATCTTCTTTGTATGTGGAAAATGTTTACTGTTAATACAATACAATAACTTTATTTCAGGCATCAAGGACTTAAAAATTAAGAACATTGGCCCATAGCAATATATACCTTAACCTAAAAATATATATAAAATATAGACATAACTTAACACTATTTAGGGAACTTTTTTCTTTGGCGCATCCCTGTATCGGCGAAACACTACCCCAGAGGGCCAGAAATCGGGAGCGAGGAATGTCTCTATGTTTTGCAGGAACCTGGAGTACGTAGGATGAAACATAAACGTACCTTATAAACTGCCACAAAGCATAGCCCTGATCCATTTTATTCTCATCAGATGGTTATTCCATTAAGTGAGAGGGCTACTCTTACAATACTTGCCATTATGAGAATTATTTACCATTCGAAAATTATTTCTCCTCATTCATTTTTGGATCTTCAAATTATATGACCTTATGCTACTTCAGCTTATTGATCCGTTGGGCTATGTGCCAGTCACTCCTTTTTTCTCCAAGATACCATGCAGAGAAATGTTAAGATTATGCCTTTCAATAAATAGCTGGATGGTTTAGATATTCCTCATGACTTAGATCGAATATTCTTATTATATAGATCATTAATCATATATATTATACTTCCACGCCTAGGTGTGCCAGTTCATCTTGGACGATTACATAGCGAGCGGGCAAGGTGCGTGGGCTAATATTTGCGTTACGCAACCGCGTCGTATTTCCGCCGTCAGCGTGTCAGAGAGGGTTGCCAGTGAACGATGTGAAGAACTGGGCAACAGTGTCGGGTGAGCAAATTTTTTTTTGTCTAAGCTGCATAAACGAAGGGAATTGTAACATTAGAGTGACAGTCCACCCGTTCCATACCCACCGAGCGAGCTTACGCCATTAAAGTTTGCGACTCCAGAACCGAATATTCCACACATAATTTGGTACGTGGTAGAGCCATGCTACAGCTATATTATGCACAAATGGGTTGGCTCGACCGGGGAAGGACCACACTCTCACAGAATACCAGCGTAAAATAGCAGCTTAACGCTGCTGTGTTTCGTATGGTAAGTGTAGAGAACCGGAGACCCTTTTTACTGGAAACGAGGCATTCCATCTTAGTCCTCATAGGTGACAACTCATCTGCATTTTGATTCGTAATTGAAGATAGATGTAGATGTCTATGGGCCACAGCAACTACTTACCATCAGGTGGACTGTGTGCTTGTTTGTCACCCTTATCCTATAAAAAAAATGTCCACTACCGAACATTGATCTCTCATATTTGGTGTATATTATGTTATCACCATGCTTTACAGGCGTACTAGATGATGATCCACATCATCGGTCTGGGATGGTCGGAGATCGGTCTGGTGTTGAGAAAAATCTAATGATCATTTTGTGCTTGAAGATTATAAGAGAACACTCAATTTTCTTAGAGAGGACATACATAATATCACGATATTTTACTTTCTTGCAGGTATTCAGTTCGGTTCGAATCCGTACTCCCGCGACCCTATGGCTCTATAATGTTCTGCACCATAGGTGTGTTGCTTCGGAAACTTGAAGGAGGCTTGAGGGGAGTTAGCCACGTTTTAGTTGACGAGGTGAGTAACTTTAATAGAAATCTTTGTTCAACTACCTTGATTGTCTTTTTCCTGACGAAAAATTCTTCGAAGATTTATTCTGTAATAATTAAGCTTTTAATAGTAAAAGTAAGTACAATTTAATATAGAATAATTCTTTTCTGTATAACACAGTGGTAAAATGAGGAATTAAGGATATCTGCCTTCACATTGCTTGTGAAAGCTTAAAAAGTTTGATAAATAATAAAGTTAAATATCAGTATAAGAGAACAGATGGAAGGACATTAAAATGGACATGTCCAGAATAATCTGGGCCTGTGTTAACGGTACCCTGTGAAACATATTTCTGGAGCTTTTAAAATATATATAATATCTTTATCTAAAGTATGTACAATTGTTGACAGGTGCACGAACGTGACGCCGATACTGACTTCGCGCTGATTCTCCTCCGCGACATGGCCCATACCTATCCTGATCTTCGAATCATCCTTATGTCTGCCACTGTGGATGTCACTCTGTTTAAAAGCTACTTTGGTGATTGCCCAGTTATTGAGGTAAGCCTGAATTACTTAATATAGTGCCCCAATTTAATTTCCATTGTACTCAAGGATGCTAAAATTTAATAATTAATTTTAAAATATTTAGGCATCCTTTGTCAACGTCATACCCAAAATTCTTATTTTTTAACTTATTTATTGCATCTTGCAATACATTATATATTTTAACATATTTGTTCAGAATCACACTATGTGGTATTCAATGCTATCACACTTACACCATTTAAGACTACTTAAGAAAGAGATATGATATTTATATGTGGGGTAGAGCGATGCTGCAGCTATATTATGATCGTAGCACGAATGGGTCGGCTTGACCAGAGAAGGACCACGCTCACAGAATAACAACATAAAACAGCAGCTTTATGCTGCTTTGTTTCGTATGGTGAGTGTAGGGAACCAGAGGCACTTTTTTCTGGAAACGAGGCATTCCATCTTAGTTCTCAGGAGTGAAACCGCATTTGTATTTTGATTCTTAACTCAGGATAGATGTATTTGTCTATGAGCGATAGCATCCACTTACCATCAGGTGGGTTGGTGCGCGTTCGTCACTCTTATACCAAAAAAAAAAATCACAAATTATCAAAATCGAAATCCATATAATGTATTTTCCACACATGACTTCCAACAATGCATTGGGAAATGATGATCTTGAATTCACACACATTAGACCAACTGTGCGATTGTGATCTGAGATCTGACTGAGCTAACAATACCATGTCTGATAAAACAATTTATTCTTTTTCCTTTCTTTTTATGCTAAATGCATATGCATTTTTTTAACAATTATACTGGGTGGCGCCCAGGTTATCACGTTAAATAGCACAACAGTTAATACAAGTTGATATATGTCTGTTAAAATAATAAAATAAACAATAATAAAAACTAATAAAAAATGCATCTTTCAAACAAAATAAATAGGGTAAAAAATCACATAAAATAAATAAATCTTGATAATATTACTTAACTGACCTGAAATGACTTGTAGAAGCGGCAACGTCGCGGCCAGCGGTTCATTGCTCATGCGACATCGATATAGGTAATTATATTATAATACCTAGGTCCTAGGACTTGCCCATACATAGGTAATTAGGCACGCGTAGGGCGATGCTAATCCGATGTTATCAACAAATCACAAATTTCATGGTATTTTTTTATCCAAATAATCACTTTAACCTTGAAATCACTCAAGTTTATGAAACAAATCAAATTTTTAAATGGATCAAATTTTCGCCGTCACGTAATCTTTGGACTGCCCGTATAAATATCCGTGAGTCTGTAGGACATACACGTGTGGTATTATACCTCTCTCGGTATGTTCGTAATGCCAGGGACGCGTTTTGGTGGCATTCTCCATAAATTAAAACCATATCGGTGTATTCCAATGACGTAAAATTGATACGAGGCATTTTAAAATAAAAAAAGTTATACGTTTAAAAAAATAAAAGCGTCCAATTGCGCACGGGCTGACACACCACTAAGTTATTAAATATCACTTATCTATTATTAATGAGTCCTATCACAAATAAAAAATACAAGACAGTAAAAGAAAGCGTCAAATTTCGCACAAATAGTCACACCACCTCCTCAACACAATTATTATTATAGTATTAACGTGTCCTATCACAAACAAATCAAGAAACTTATGAAAATATCCACAAAAAAAAACTTTAAATTAAAAGGACGTGTACGCGAAAAACTAAAATTAGGTCAAGCGATTAATGAACCGTTCCCAAGGACGCCGGCGTCGGACTAAGTGACTTACTGTCTTACTTTATCGTCGCACGCGCCAATCGACCACATCCCACCCTCCCAACACCCCGTCCCAATTCTTGTCGCATCGCGCATAAGAATTATGCCTTATTTTGTTACATATAAGTACATTTTTTGCTTAATTTATTACTTTATTTGATTATTTAAAATTGGCAACGTTGCACTATAATACAATATAGGTCTCTTGGCCTTCACGGGCCATGGGTCTTTGAACTTCTAGTATTTATCAGGTGATATCTGATGCATTTACATGATGTTGTTTAATATTAAAACAAAAAAAAGGCTACCGCGCCCAGAATGTTAATTGTTATATATTTTTTTAGTTGTGTATGTTTAAAGAACTTTGTATAGAATACGTCTTTTCATTTAACGTGATAACTTCATCGTCACTTTGTATAATAAGAAATGAGACTTTTGAATAGGGTATTCTACACCATGTAAAAAAAAATCGAAGAATATATATTTATGATAGATTTTGTAAAAAGTAAACGAGAAATATTGATGTCTATTTATAAAAATGCATTATAAATTTTATATTTCTATTTAAAGAATATTCTTTTTACCTGTGCCTCAAATCTGCAAAACGATGTCCGCCATATTAGATAGTGTCGTGACGTCACTAGGTCAAAGAACTAGGTAACGTACTGTGTACTAAATAGCTAATTTCGAATTTCTTCAAGTTATCATTACGATTGTTGACTTTTATTCCGAATTTTATTGAAAAGGCATCATGGAAGACGGATTCGTAAAAGCGAGTTTATTACTTCGCTTTTAGCACTAATGTTATAGATATTATTATGATATAAGCTTAGGTGAGAAAAACTTTTTGTTATATTTTTTTGTACAAAACCCTCAGACGAAATAAAAAGTCACTTTTTTATTTGATCTGAGTACAAACCATATCTTTATCTCATATAATAGAAGAAAACAGGAATTAAGTAAACACTGCAATGCACTTGCAAGGGCTATCAAAATGGCCCACAAAAGGCGGAACAGACGAGCGATTAACCTAATCTATTACAAAATTTGACTTGCAATAGGTACCTATCATGTCATGATTGTTTTGTTTTGTTTAATCGATAGTTAAATATAAGTCAAAGTGATCTTCACAGAAGTATAGTTTAGATTTTGTAGACAATGCCTTCGGGTCTCTTCTTGCCAGTTTTAACCAAGTATTTCTCATATTCAAATCAGTTGGCACTTTAATCCATAACTTCCCCGGCGTTCTTATGCTCGTATTTTTGCGATCAGGCACAACACAACAATGATATAGATGATAACTCATTATTAAACATTCAAAAGTATCTTATTCCTTTGCAAAATTGTCAAAATTCTAGGACAGTGACGTCACAGTGAGTTGAACAGTATGGCGGCTAGCGTTTTCACGCGAAAATTTAAAACGATAGATTAAAAATAATTTTTATGTCAATATTCGGTTTTAAAAAATTTATATAAAAATTATAGTGGTTCATTATCACTCCAGGATTCATTTAAAACAATTTCTGAAAATGGGTGTAATACCCTATTCTACCGACTGCACTCTTGTATATTTAATAATACATAATGAAAACCATCACACATCTCACATTAGTTTTTAGATATATTACATAAATGATGTGTTCTTACCATGCTTCAGAAATATAATTTAATCCACTTCCAAATGTTGTCTGAAACGTCTGAAAAGTTTATGTAACATAATCATTGAATTTTTTTTATTGAAAACACATTTTATTTGTACACCTTTATGGTTATTACATCTACAATTTTACCATATTCCATTATAATAACAAGTCTGCGTGTATATTTGTTTTATTATCTTATTATTATTTTAACCTTATTTTACGCAATATATATTCTAGATTTCACAGAATTGTTTTGGCACCGCCCACAAACTTAACACGCCTTATTACAATTACAATTTAATCTGCCAAAGTGAAAAGCATTTAGAAGGCCACTCACCCTGTAAACAATACAGAAATACTAACCTTCCATTCCTTAGAAGTTTTTTTTTTTTTCAAGATACTAACGGGTTTGAGATAAAAGAAAACGTATGGTATTAGTCATGGGGTTAGCAAACATTTGTCGGTAATAAATTTTACTTCATATCAATAACTCGAAAATTGCCAGGTCCCGGGCCGAACATACCCAGTAAAACAATACTTCCTTGAAGATTGCATCGAGCTTACTGGCTTCGTGCCGCCTCCAGATACCCGCAAACGCAAATCATCAGGCAAGAAAGCTAACAAGGATGACGATGACGATGATGATGAAGGTGAGCCCTTGTAATGTATAAATTGTAATATTCCTTATATTATTTCCTGTTTTCTATTGACGAAGAATAATTTGAAGAACTCCAAAAACGATTTACCTAAATCACAACATGCCCAAAGAACTTTTACTTCAAAAATCATAACTCTATGGTATTTTCAAACCAGTGGTAAAAGTAAAAAAAATTGCCATCGCGACAAAACTCGCGATACCATCCATACCATCTGGATGATTGGTGGTTGACAACTGTGCTATTTAGAAGAGGGTTTCTTCCTCGCACAACTACCTTGTGGAATCGACTACCACCAGAAAGTTTTCCTGATCGGTACGACTAAGAAAAGAGCCTCTTTTCTTTTAAAGGCCGCACCTGCAATTCCCCTGGTGTTGCAGGTGTTTATGGGCTGGTTAGTCACTTACCATCAGGTGAGCCGCATAAAAATATTTAAAAAAAACTTGTAATGTATATTGAATAAATAATTAATATTTTCCATCCTATTCTACAAAACTGTTTGTTTTAGGTTTAGGAGAAGAACCAGAGGAGGACTTAAATAAAACCTGTCAACTTGACGACAATTACTCACAATCAACCAAAGATGCTATAACCAAATTATCTGAGAAAGATGTAAGTACTGTAATTATACATAATATTATCTTTAATTCTGAATTATAATACTACAACTTTTTCTATTTACTTCTATTTATTTAAAACACCTTTTTTTATATTTTCAGCTTAGCTTCGAATTAATAGAAACTATATTACTATACATTAAAAACTTAGAAAGCGAAGGCGCCATCTTAGTTTTCCTGCCGGGTTGGAATCTGATATTTGCATTGATGAAACATTTATTAAACTCGAGCGTCTTTGGGGACAGTTCCAAATACGTCATACTGCCGCTGCATAGTCAAATCCCAAGGGAAGATCAGAAGAAAGTTTTTATCACACCACCTCTTGGCCTCACTAAGGTAAGCATTTAGAAAGTAGAAAATTAGAACTGTTGTTAAGTTCAAGCAGATAAATAATATCTTCGCCATACTGTAGATATTTACGAAACTCTTTCACTTATGTCCGGTTAATAATAATATAATCATATCAATAATAATATCAATGGATGTTGCGTTTCTCATACGGTGAGTATAATTAGGTACGAAGTACCTGTAAAAATCGTTGCTCCAACAAGCTACCCGTTAGACGTTTAACGAAGACTTAAAATGCATGGCTGCAAGGAATGGACTGTAAAGCAAATGTATGGAATAACACTGAGATTTTTCCATTAAATTTTTGAATTGTCAAAGACATTTTCCATACGTAACATTGAGCATTCATTGATTTTAATATGTTTTGTTTTAATTAAATTGTAGTGATAATACTACAATTTTATTATAACAAAACTTACCAAACAACAAAAAATATCAGCGTAAAATAGCAGGTTAATGCTGCTGTGTTTCGTATGGTGAGTGTAGAGAACCGGAGACCCTTTTTACTGGAAACGAGACACTCCATCTTAGACCTTAGGGGTGACAAGGCATCTGCATTTTGATTCTTAATCGAAGATAAATGTAGATGTCTGTGGGCAACAGCATCCACTTACCATCAGGTGGACTGTGTGCTCGTTTGTCATCCTTATTCTACAAAAAAATTAAAATAGAGAATTTAGATAGGTGACACGAGTGATCTTGAAATATTCTTTGTGTTGACTGAATTGGAAAACTACTTGAAATTCCTTTAAAATCGTTTCGGCGGGCTTCGTTTGGCTAACAGATTTTCGTAGTGGTAGTAGCTCCAGAAAGAGAGTAATGTTTTTCGAGAGTATGTACATATGTATATATGTCTATTTCTTTGGCATACTCCGTAGCTTAAACGACTTGATGGATTTTTACATATGAGGTATCGTTGGATTCACCTTAATTGTGGGAGTAACATAGAATAGAATAGAATAATTTTTTATTCAATATTGATTATTACAAAATACTTATTGAAAGTCATTTTTTTTACCACTGGTTCGGAAAATACCTCAGTCCTGGGAAGGACCAGCAAGAAACCCAGTGGGACTTTTTTTTTAAACATAATTTCACTTAACAATAATTTTGTTTATACAATTTTTAAATGATTTTTCATAGAACCAGCATGGTGGCGATCACCCTATTCCCAGGGGTTATTTTCATTCACGTATTCCTTGATATTATAATAACCCTTTTTGTACAGTTTTTCTTTAATAAAACTTTTAAACTTGTTTATTGACAAACTGTTATTGACAATTGTTCTATGGATATTGTCCCATAAATGAATTACTGATTCTGTGGAGTCTAGTAACTGGCATAACAAGCTTATGTTTGTACCTAGTATTTAAAGTATGCACATCCTTATTCTTATTAAAGCTATTTATGTTTTTATGCACATACATTACATTCTCATAAATATATTGCGATGCCAAAGTTAATATGTTTATTTCTTTAAATTTTTCTCTGAGGGACTCTTTACAATTTAGGTTATAAATCGCCCGTACGGCTCTTTTGCAAAACAAATATAGCTTCAATATCAGCCGCACTACCCCATAGCAAAATTCCATAAGACATTACGCTATGAAAGTAACTAAAATACACTAATCTAGCTATCTCAACATCTGTGAGACTTCTAATCTTTCTTACAGAATATGCTGCAGAACTAAGTCTGCTTGCTAGTTTAGATATATGGGGGCCCCATTGAAGTTTCGCGTCAATAGTAATACCAAGAAAAACAGTGCTATCCACAAGACTCAACTCCTCTCCATTTAACAGCACATTGGTATTCGAATGTTTTACATTAGGTATTGTAAATTTAATACACTTTGTCTTATTGCCGTTTAAGAGCATATTGTTGGCGTTAAACCAATGTACCAATTTCGATAGAGCATTATTTACATCGTCATAATAAATTAACTGTCGTTTGAGTTTTAAAATTAAATAGGTATCGTCAGCAAATAATACTATATTGTGATTGTCCCCTACAAGATAAGGTAAGTCATTAATATAGATTAAAAACAGGAATGGGCCAAGAATCGAGCCCTGAGGAACGCCCATTGATACTGCCGATCCGGAGGAACCTTTACCATTAATCACTACTTTTTGAATTCTGTCACTTAAATATGAAGTAATAAGTCTAAGCGCCAAATTTTTTACACCGTAATGTTGTAGTTTCCTGATTAATCTCTCATGATGAACACAATCGAAAGCCTTGGAAAGATTACAGAAAATACCTAAGGCATCTTGTGAATTTTCCCAGGCATTAAAAATATATTTCATAAGCTCAACACCGGCGTCAGACGTCGAGCGACCCCTTTTAAAACCAAATTGGTTTTTATGAAGTAATTTATTTGTATTAAAAAAAGTTCACAATTGATCCAAAATTATTTTTTCAAAAATTTGACTGAGAGTTGGTAGTACAGAAATAGGTCTAAAATTAGCGGGGTCCAATGTACTACCAGATTTAAATAAAGGTATTACGAGGGTGGATTGAAAAGTACTCGGCCTAACCAAGAAAATAAACAAATACTAAATCAGTTATATTTTTATTTTTCTACATAATTACCATCAAGTTCAATACACTTTTTCCACCTCCCCTTCCAAGCATTTAGACCGTTGAAAAAAAATGATTCTTCCTTAGAGTCAAAATATGCGCTACAACTGCTTTGACCTCGTCGTTTGTCGAAAATCTTTGACCTCCCAAGTGCTTTTTTAGGTTAGGGAACAGAAAGAAGTCTGATGGTGCCAGATCAGGTGAATACGGCGGATGCGGTAACAGTTCAAAGCTACAGTTGTGAATTTCAGCCATTGACTGTACTGACGTGTGAACACGGGCGTTATCTTGATGAAACAGGACTTTTCTTCTGAGCATTCCTCGACGTTTTTCTTTTATTTCCTCTCGAAAACGACGTAGTAAGGTGCAGTAGTAATCAGAGTTTATATTCTGACCCCTTTCAAGATAATCAATCATAATCACACCTTTCGAGTCCCAGAAATCTGAAGCCATCACCTTATTTGCCGACAAAATCGACTTAGCCTTTTTAGGGGGTGGTGAACCAGGTCTTCTCCACTGTTTTGATTGTTGTTTTGTTTCCGGTGTACAGTAATGAACCCATGTTTCGTCCATAGTAACAAAACGATTCAAAAAATCATCTGCATCGGCTTCAAATAACTCCAAACAGTCGCGTGAAATAGTCAATCGCGTCCTTTTTTGTTCAACTGAAAGCAGTCGCGGAACCCACCTCGCAGACACCTTGTGGAAACCCAACTCGTTGACAATGATGTTTTGAGTTCGTTCATAAGAGATGCCTATAATCTCGGCTATCTCTCTAATTTTTAATCTGCGGTCTCCCATTATTAAATCAAGTACTTTTTTAATATTTTCGTCAGTAGTTGACGTCGAAGGCCTTCCAGAGCGGGGTTCATCTTTCACACTCTCTCTACCACGCTTAAATAATTCTGCTATCCATTTTTTGACGGATGAATATGACAGAGCACAATCGCCTAATGTACTGACCATGTCATCATGGATGGCTTTTGACGATAGCCCCTTCTTATGGAGGTATTTAATGACGGTACGCTGCTCGATTTGCTCCATTCGCGGAAATTATGTCCAATTACTTTGTTAATAAATTTATAAAATCACAACTAATTATCGCACACGTTTCGAACTTCACACAATGAACTAGTCTGAACTGAACTAAATAATGTGGGTAGATTTGATTTTTAGAATTGAATGGATCTGTGTTAGGCCGAGTACTTTTCAATCCACCCTCGTACTTTGCTATACTTCACTAAATCAGGAAACACACCAGAATCGATACAAGTATTAAAAATAATAGCAAGATGAGGTGCAATTAAATCTATTATGGACGCAATAACTGTAACGGAAATCCCCCACAAATCTGCGGTCTTTACATGAATGATTTTGAAGTATTTTACAACATCTTGCGATAATACTTTTTCAAATCTAAATTCTTTTAAACAGGTGTTAACATTCTGTTTGAGTAATGACTCGGCGACAGTTGGAGAAGTATTCAATGACTCGGTTGTCAAGATAGGAATATCAGTGAAATATTTCTCAAACACCGCTGCGACTTCTTGATTTGATTTAGTCAATTCATTGTTAATTTTTAATTGATAGTTTAAGTTACGAGGTTTGTCTTTACCGGTTTCATTGTTAATTATACTCCAAATCATTTTAATTTGATTCTTAGCCGTCTTAATTTTTTTGCTAATATGTAACGATTTGGCTGTGGAGCAAAGTCTTTTAAACATTTTAGAATAATTTTTAACATATTCTTTAAAAGCATCGGGAAAGATTATATTATGATCTTTCATGGTAAAGGTCATATAACCTTCGTCTGCTTTTATGAATTCCTACTGTCGCCCACTCATTAAATGCCTTGCGACTGTTTCTGGAGAATGTTTTAGAAGTAAATGTTTTTTTAAATTCATTGCTTATAAGGGTAAATAATTCTAGGCTATATAATGTCTATATATTGCATCTACAAATTCAAAAAGAAAGGGAGGAGACGGTTTTTATCAGTAAACAGTCGGGGTTTTTAAATTACTGTTTTAACCATTAAGCTTGTTAACTTAATTCTTTAACTGTATTGTAAATTTTATGATATATTATAATGAAATATATATTATATATTTTATGATATATCTATACAAATAAGTAAAATTGAAGTGTCTGTTTGTAATGTCAAAATAACAGCTTTTTACTAAATGAATATTAAAGTATATAATACGGTACTTATAACAAAAACACAATTTTAAAATTTTTGTCTGTTTGTTTGTTCCGGCTAATCTCCGAAACGGCTGGACCGATTTTGAAGGGACTTTCACTGGCAGATAGGTGATGTTATAAGGAGTTAGTTCTATTTTAGAAAAAGAATTAGGGTTCCGTGCAAAAAAAATTTAAAGACAAAATAAAATCGTAATAAATTGCACACTGGTATAGTAGCGGCAACAGCTAATTTTATAATAATATCAAGATGTATTGATAATATGTGGATCTACATCATCATCTTAGCAGCCCTAGCAGCAGCCAGCAGTATACTAACGAGCTCGTTAGATGTAGTTCAATGATGGCAATAAAAAGTTGTTAAGCACTGCAATATCAGCTCATTACTCATACAACGCTAACAATAACAGTTGTTTGAATATAGTAACCAGGCATTACTAACAATTTATGTCTGTCAAGGGTCTAAGTTTATTGAAATACCACTTTTGAAAATATCTAAAGGATTGGATTATATTCTGCTATACAATATCTACTCAGTATATTATTTAGGCCTAGTCTTAATTTTTAACCGTCAAGAAGAAAATTTGTTTTATTACATGTGCTCACCATAGTTTGGGTGGTGAGTGTATCATACTCCTCCACCACAATTTGATTGTTTGTGTAAACATTTTTGTATTTGTAAGTTTTTGTATGCGCACTCACGTATGTATGCCAATTAATTATTTATTTCATTATACCAGGTAATCTTATCAACCAACATAGCGGAAACTTCAATCACGATCAATGACGTGGTGTATGTCATAGATTCATGCAAGGCGAAAATGAAACTGTTCACGTCTCACAACAACATGACTTCCTATGCAACTGTGTGGGCTAGCAGGACCAACCTCGAACAGGTTAGTTTTCAGAAACACCATATTTTTTATATTATCTACAGAATACACTATTGTGTGTACTTCTGTGATTTTTGTATTGCTCTGTAAAATAACTCAAAAACTAACAAACATTCTCATAAAAACGTGTTAATCCCTACATATTTTGCAAAATTTAGGATATGCAAAGAAACACTATGTTTAATAATTGTATTTTATGAATTGATACAAAAATATCTTATCTTTTGTGTGTTAGTTGAATATTTTTTTTCGATTTCCTGCAAAAATAACATCAAATGTATGTCCCAGTGAGACTAAGTCCAAAGTTATGGTTGTTAGACTATGCAGATATTTAAATAAATAAGACAGAAACTAAAATTGCTCTATCTTTGAGGTTGTAGGGATTGCATCTCTTATGTGGGGTGTTTTTATCCATTAATGTAAATGTATGATATACCGACCTTAAAGTTTAATTACTACAAATACGGACACACAGTTTAAAGTTTTAGACCTATAGGTACAGTAACGCCATATTGACTCACTTTCTAAAAACATTAAGAGATCCTTCGTATCTCAACATTGTAGGTAGAACTTATTTTACAAAAAAGAGCATTATATAACACTTTCAATTTACATCAACAATCTAATTTGACTGTTCAACAATCTATTTGTCCAGCGTAAGGGTCGAGCGGGTCGTGTCCGTCCCGGCGTGTGCTTCACGTTATGTTCGAAAGCGCGCTTTGACAGACTTGACGAGCATCAAACTGCTGAGATGTTCCGTACTCCGCTTCACGAACTGGCTCTCAGGTTACAATTTTGTTTATTTGTTTTAATTTAATGGGATGGTTGATGCTTATTTCAATTGAAATATTTTTCTGGGCTGCCTACGATGCTTTTATTTGGATTTTTTTAAGATAGGGTGACAAACAAGCACAAATAGTAAGTGGTTGCAGTGACACATAGACATCTACATCTATTCTCAATAAAGAATCAAAATGCAGATGCGTTGTTACCTGTGAGGACTAACATGGAATGCCTCGCTTTCAGTAGAAAGGGTTCTCTATACACACCATACGAAAAAGCTGCTATTTTATGGTCCTTCCCCATTCGAGCCAACCCATTTGTGCTACAACTATGCTACTAATACAGCTGCAGCATGGCTCTACCAAATTGCTTGGAAATAGGAGTGAATAAAACGACAAAAAAAAACATCTTATTTGTATATTGTTATGCAATAAAAATCTCATTCAACTTAAAATTAACCGAGTTTTGAGACTCTACTAAAAAGTAGCAAATTCTTATTTTTCCTTTTTTTTTTTAAACATTCTATTGAAAATCCTAATATGGAGACCACCAGGAATTAATTCTGTATTGTGAGGGTGTTTAACTTACATTCATTGTACATGAACAAACTTTTTGTACAAGATTACGTATAGACCATTTAAAAACTTAATATTAAATGCGAAATTTCACAGTACGCGAGCAACCCGGGTTCGATTCCCGCCAGCACCAATGAAATTGTTAATTGCAATTATAAGTGCTGATTTATCACGTGCTCAGCAGTGAAGGAAAACATCGTAAGGGATCCTGCGTGTCTGAGAAATAAAAAAATATTTCGGAAACATGTGAAGTTTGACAACACGCATTGGGGCAGTTCAGAAGTGAGAGGAGGCTTGTGCCCAGCAGTGGGACGTATGTAGGCTGTAACTTTAACTAATTAATATGATTTTATTTTTCTCTTCACAGCATTAAGCTTCTCCGTCTAGGCAGTATTGGTCACTTCCTCTCGAAGGCACCAGAACCTCCACCATTGGACGCAGTCATTGAGGCGGAGGCCTTACTTCGCGAGCTAGGCTGTCTCGACGCCAACGATGCTCTCACCCCGCTTGGCACTATACTGGCCAAGTTGCCAATCGGTATTAACCTTTCTCTTTAAAATAATTTCAACTTTGAGACTGTTATGCTTACTACCTTTAAACTTTGAGACTGTTATGGTCTAAATCATTACTACATCACCATTAGGGTGAACTATTTAAGCTGTTGTAAGTTCGCATAAGTATATTTAATGGAGAAAACTTACCAAGATTGGTTCTACTGAAGGGAATATTGAATAAATTAGTGATTGGATGTCTAAGGATATGATAGGGGATTTTAAGGCACACTTGCTGCAATAAACTTAGCGAAATTAACTTACCGTGTAGAAGCTTATGATTAAAGATGTCTTAATTTGGTCAGTGTAACTCGTTCTTTGTGAGACAATAATAGTAATAAAATCATTTGTTTTCAGAACCCCGTCTGGGTAAAATGATGGTTCTGGGATTTGTGTTCGGCGTGGGCGACGCATTAACCACAATGGCCGCCAACTCCACCACATTCCCCGAAATCTTCATCGTGGAAGGTCGCCGAAGGTTGTCCATGCACCAACGTGCGCTAGGCGGAGACAGAGCGTCCGATCATGTGGCTATGCTTAATGCTTTCCAGGTACAATACTTGTTAATATGACGATGACCACGTACCGCAGTGGTTAGAGTTAAGTTATAAGCTACTATACCGCAAGTCCTTTACTCGCATTTTAGCCAGAGACAATATTTGTACAAAAACACATATTGTTGATTTTTTTTATAGAAATAAAGATGACAAACAAGTATTTGCACAAAAACACAAGCTGGCGGCTTTTTAAAAACTAGGCTCTTTTGCCACACACCACCACACATACTGAAAACTAAACTAAAGGACAATGTTAAAACTCGCCTCAGAACCAACATATATTTGACTATTACCAAAATTCTTATCCTTAATTATGCATTAGATAATATTCATTAGATAGTAACGGACACTTCTGACTTGTGAAATCAAAATAAAAAGGACTTTTTCGATTATGAAATTTGTACCTATTTTTTAATATTATTGTACTTCGTGTATGGCCTCCTGTGATTTGGCCAATCGCACAATACCTTCACTCACATATTTCAAAAGTTGTCATAAACTCAAATATATTATGAAAACGTTTATGTTTTAAAATATATCTCAGATTAATATATGCCACAAGGAACTGGGGTACAGTGAAATCATCTATTTTCATTTAAAATAACAATACCTTTGTCATCTCATTGGCAAATCAGCATTGTGCCACGCAAAAAAAAAAGTCAAAAACGTTGACAGATGACAACAAGTCAAAATAGATAGACGTCAGACGTGCTATTCTTTTTGGTTTCGTTTGAAAAAATACATTTCTGTAAATGTTTTAGGAATCTAAGTGCACTCTGTAGTTGCTTTGTTATGCGATAAGTTTATATAAATTACGAACAACGGCTTGAACAACGGATACAATGTTTCATAAACATAAAACATAACCTCAAAATCTCTATGATAACTGCAAATATCTAAGTTTTCAGAAGTGTCCGTCAGGAGTTATTGTTCTTACATACAATTATGTGTAATTTCGGACTTAAAAAGGTATTTTTTGTCACTGTTGGTTCTTAGGCGAACAATGTATGGATGCAAAACATTGTCCTTTCACTATGTGATCATGCCTGGCTGGAAATCCCTAAGAAAAGCCGCCCTTTGTTGGATCACCAACCTTCAAAATTATATCGGTTTGTGCATGGGACAAATATCTGAAACAATCTGGACAATCTATGAATAATTGTTCAACTTCGTGGTATTTTTCTATGTGCAATTTGTAAAATGCCTCTAACATACTTGAAAAAAATCATATATTGGGGTTGTGGGGGTAACATTACAAAATATATCTTTGTTGTAGATGTGGGAGCGAGAACATTCAAAGGGCGAAGATGCTGAAATAAGATGGTGCGAGTGGAAAGGCGTGCAACAAACCACTCTACGTGTCACATATGAAGCTAAATACCAACTTACAAGTAATCACTTTTCTAAATCTCCCTTTGTATGTAATTGAAAGCTAAATGCAGTGGCACATTTGAGACTCTTTGAAGATGGGTCAGCAATGCTATATTTTTTTCAGGCAAAGTCGGATTTTAGACCTTTTAAGTAAAAATGTGGGTTTTTTTATTAAAAAGAATATAGATCTTAGTAAGAAAAAAAAACAATCAGCTGGCCGGCTAGTTAAGTCGTCCGCGCTGCCGCCTCACCATCAATATTCAACATATTCCCAAAAAGCAGAACTGTAACTGACATGCGTGATATTTAATTTCAGATTAAAAATTAAAATGGCAACACTAGATTGGAATAGTTTTGTTTGGCTCTATAGCGCTTTTGTTTATACTGCATTTTTTTTGTAAATTTATGAAAATGAAAATGACTACTATAATGTACTTAATAAATAGTAATTTTAATTAAAAAACTTAAAGAATATATGTGGTATATCAACGCTAAGTCTTACATTTCATAGAGACTATTCAAATTTGACCCCTACTGACTGTCTAAAAAATGTAAATAAAATATCTCAGTCTCCTCATTTGCATTAGAACAACATGGTGAAAACTCATATATTAATCCTCTCAGATCTGTACTCAGCTGTTGGGGCATATGTCACTATAATTGAACAAGTGGTAAAATTAAAAAATTTGTACAACCGACATCAATACAAGTCGTAAAATTAAAAATTTTGTACAACCAACTTCAATATAAATTATTAAGGACAAAAACTACTGGTCAGACCATGATCAAATTTATATGAGACCACATGAGAAGTACCAGCTTTCAAATAAAAAAGAATAATCAAAATCGGTTCACCTAGAAAAAAGTTCTGTTTCTGTGTGTCTCATAAAAAAAGCAGTCGACCTGAGGACCTCCTCCTTTTTTCGAAGTCGGTTAAAACAAGTGTACTAACCTTGTACAGTATACTTAAATTTCATTATTTATAATTAAATACATATATTCTGTATTTTAGACATACTGACAACTGCCATTGGATTCCCTGAGGAGTGCTGTTTACCCCAGAGATGGGTTCCCACTGGACCGGACCCAATTCTTGACCAAGTGATTGCTTTGCTTTGCATGGGATTGTATCCCAATGTGTGTTTACATCAAGGGAAGAGAAAGGTATATGTCTTAATTCACATTTATGTAGATTTACCTATGACTTAAAACAAAATACTGATAATATAATGATGAATCGCAGTGTAGTGGCAGTGTGAGAAAGAAAATCCACTACGCCATAAGTATGTCAAAAGAGGCAACAGAGGGATATGAAACAGGAGATGAGGAGCAGCAACAAGTAACAATACAAAGCAATAAAAAACTGCGATTTCGACCTGCCTGCCAAGTATGGCAACTATAGCAAGTACCCCCTTATGAGGCAATCTATAGAAGAGGCCGATGTTGAGCTATGGACTTTAATAGGCTGTAATCTTGATAAATTAAAATACATTTTCATCCTTTAGGTTCTAACTACCGAAGGAAAACCGGCTCTAATCCACAAGACATCGGTGAACTGCAGTAACCAAGAGCAAAAGTTCCCGTCTCCGTTATTCGTGTTTGGTGAGAAGGTGCGAACGCGCGCCATCAGCTGTAAGCAGACCACTATGGTGTCGCCGCTGCATATACTGCTGTTTGGCAGCACGAAAGTTGAGTGGGTGAGTGATCTAATTGTTATGTTATAAAATGTATACTACATAACTTAATTGTTATTGGAGGCAAGTGCAGCAACTTACGGGCTCGAATCCCATTTGGACCCCACATTCATTCATTCGTCAGGCCTCCCACAAAGAATGCGACAAAGCACTTTCCTGAGCCACCTGCTTCCATCGACATCCTGCATGTCTTACAAGGTCTTTACTCCATCGAGTAGGGGGTCACCCCACACTTCGCATACCGGTACAAGGCTGTCACTCCAGAACCTTGCTTCCCCATCGGTTGTCGGCCCCACATTTGCACGAAAACTTAAATTGTTGGTTTTCAATTAGTATTAACAAATGCTTTTTATACGAGCTATTTTGTCTATTAAATATCTCCGCATAATATGTGTAATGTGAATCAGTGTAGCACAAGTACTTCATTACTATGATATGAATGTTAGGTATTTTTATCTGCTTGGGGGCATAAACATATTTTACTCGTGAACTGTCCACTGGGTTAAGCTGTTGTTAATATCACCCAAGAACTTTGCAATGGGACGCATAAAAACATATTGTTAAAGTTTTGTGAACAAAATACCTACAAATCAGACTACGCTGTATGGTATAAAACCTTTGCCTGCTTTAAAAACAACCACTTAATGAATTGGTGTCGAAATAAAATAAAAAATAATTTCCTGATCTCATGGAAATTACGAATTACCATTACTGTCTATAAAGTGATTAATATTTTATGATAAATTTATTTGTAACTTAATATATTATTCTGCTAGTGTGGGAAGTGAAATTAACTTGGATAGTCTCAACGAACATTTTGCCAACCCTCCTGTAATAGTTTCATCATTTACTAAAGCCAGAACCCTACTTGAATTATCAAAATGCCCAATACGTTATTATTCCTCATTTAATTTCACTTCTCTTACTGAAGATGATTCTATGCGATCCGTCCTTGCAATTTCATCTACTGCTATGGGAAATGATAACATCTGCTCTAAAATGATTACGTTGATTCTTCCCTTTCTGCTCCCTATTCTTACTCATATCTTTAATTTCTCTTTATCTTCTTGTTGCTTTCCGTCGTCATGGAAGTTAGCTCATATTATTCCTATACCCAAAGTTTCAAATCCTTCATCTGCAACACATTACCGCCCTATTTCCATTTTACCATTTCTTTCAAAGGTACTTGAACATATTGTCCACACACAATTGACCAAGTTTCTTAACCGTAACAATATCTTAAGTACTTTTCAATCCGGTTTTAGGCCTGGTCACAGTACAACTACTGCTCTCCTCAAGGTAACGGATGATATCCGGTGCGGTATAGACCAAAAATATTTAACGGTACTTGTGCTGCTAGATTTTAGTAGTGCCTTCAATTCTATTGATTTTGATATACTTCTTAGCATTCTTCATTCTATTAATGTGTCTCCTTCAACTATTCATTGGTTTGATTCCTACCTCCGTGGCCGCTCTCAGTGTATTCGTTTCAATGAAACTTTATCCAAGTGGTGCAATCTAGCCACGGGTGTACCTCAAGGTGGCGTCCTTTCTCCTTTACTCTTTTCCATCTTTATCAACTGTATCACCCAGGAGATATCTTCAAACTTCCATCCCTATGCAGACGATTTGCAGCTGTATCGTCATTTTCTAGTGACTGAAGCAAATTCAGCATTACTTGAAATAAATAACGATCTAAATAAAATTGATGAGTGGTCTAGATCATACGGACTTGTTATAAACCCTAAAAAATCACAAGCAATGATTATAGGCACCAGGTTTACTCATAAATTACTTGACTTTTCTTCACTGCCAACTCTGCAAATTAATGGTATTCCACTAAGCATTTCAGAAACGGTTAAGAATCTGGGCATCATCATGGATTGCAAGTTGACATGGAATGCACATATCACAGAAATTAGCAGGAAAATATATTATACTTTTCATTCCTTAAAATGCCTTCAACATTTTCTACCGTTATCAACGAAGATTTCTCTTGTCCAAACACTTATTTTCCCGATTCTTGACTGTGCTGATGTCTGTTATTTGGATGCGACTGAGGAGCAATTAAACAAACTTGAGTGCTTGCAAAACTTATGTATTCGTTATATTTTCGGACTAAAAAGTATGACCACGTCTCCTCCTATCGCAAACAGCTCAAGTGGCTCCCAATCCGACTTCGCAGGAATACCCGAATCCTATGCCTCCTCTTTAACATACTATACAATCCAACATCACCACCCTATCTATGTGATCGATTCCACTTTGCACACTCCCCCGATGCAGTTTGCAGATCACATTTAAAAACCCTCCTCAATTTCCCTTCCTCTAAAACTAAGTCCTATTCTCACTCTTTTACAGTACATGCAGTTAGGTTATGGAATTCTCTTCCTGCTGCAATTCGAGAGGCTCAATCAGTGTCCGTGTTCAAAAGGCGAGTCAAAGAGCACTATCTTTCTTTGTCATCCCAATGATTATATATATAATATATTATTATATTTATATATGTAATATATATATATGTGTATGTGTGTATATGTATTATAAGTGGTATTTAGTTATATGTATGTTTACATGGATATTTGGTTTTATTATCTTTACTTTATGTTAAGTATATTAATATTATAAAATTTTATTATTAGAGTGCACACTAGATCAGCTTCTCTTTTAATTTGTCCAGTATCAGGCCTGCTGGAAGAAATTTCAACATGAAATAAGCAGTGCCTTTGTACAAAATATCTTTTTTTTCTCTTCCTTGTAACATTATTTTGTGTGTACATAAATTGTTAAATAAATAAATATATTATTCATTTCATTTAGGTGGACAATGTAGTCCGTCTGGACAACTGGCTAAACTTCAAGATGTCACCCCGCTCGGCAGCTTTGGTAGTTGCTCTGCGACCAGCAATAGAGAAGTTGGTGGAACGGGTGGCTGCTGAGCCAGACGCAGCCCTCAATTTCTCACCTTCAGAAAAAAAGGTATTATCATTATAACTACTCTACAAGAAAAAAAGTAGAATACTGACTGTAAATAATATAAAAGTCTCTGTCTCCCATTAATAATAGGGTGATATGGCGACAAACTGGCACGCCCATAATAATATGCATATAGAGAGAAAAATATTATATTTTTTTTTATAATTCGTGTGGAATTGCCGTCCCATCAGACTTATCAGTTGTTCTTGTGCTTGCGCACTTGAGTCTTAAAAATACTAAGTTATATTTGGTAAAAAATAATACATTTACATACGGTGACTTATATGAATAAAGTTACATAAATATAACCAAATTAAGAAAGCACTGTCTTTAAATTAATGTTTGACAGTGCTTTTTAATGTATCTAAAATTTAGAAAAATATTTTTCATACAATACCTTGTTCAGTAGGCGATGTACTGTCAAGCTTCCACAAACTGAATAGTTTTGAACCATAGATTTTAGTCCTAGCTTTTGGTAATTGCATTTTGTTTGTTTCGTGTACAGTGCTTATGTGATTTAGTTTTAAAATTAGTTTGTGTGTGTATAGAATCTGAGAGATTTTTGCTGACTTATGCACGTATTGTATTTGTTATTTTCAATTTCAATAGTTATGCCACCACCGAATGTCGCACCCTTACTCCGTGCTTGAAAAAATATGCATATACGAGGGGCGTTTAATGTATTCTCGGTATAAAATACGCGAGTGAATAAAATTATGAAATATTTTTTATTGTTCAATATAGTCCCGAATGACATCAATACATTTACTTGTTTGTGAAAAAAGATTTTTTATTCCCTTGAAAAATATTCTTCGTCTTTGCCTGAAAAATGCTTATTTAAAGCGCACCTGAGCTGATTACCGTCAGCAAATCTGATCCCTTTTTATGCCATTACATAGACTCCTGCTTACTCTCAGGGTCATAGTGGTAATCCCACATTTCATCTCCTGTAACTATCCTATCAAAAACACTTGTTGGGTCGTCACCACACAGCTCTAAAAACTCCCTACAACAGTCAACCTGTGCCTGCTTTTGAAGCACAATGAGCCTTCGCGGCACTCATTGTGCAGTGACTTTTGTGAGGTTGAGATAGTCATGCAATATGGTGTGTATGGTACAAACAGATAGGTTGGTTTCTGCTAACATCTTAATTCTTACTCATGCATCTTCTAATACAAGTTCTTCAATAATTTTCACATTTTCTTCTGTAGCCGCTGTGATCGACCTTCGATGCTTTCCCTGCCTCTTTTGAATTTTTTTGACCACTGTACAGTTGACATTGAAGGGACAGTCTTGGTAAACCATTTTTTCATAGATGATTTTGTGCGTTTTTCATTGTGTAGAGAGGAATTTAATCACTGCAGTGTTCGATTTTTTTCAAAATTCTCGAGTCGGTCGTTCCTGTCGTCTATAATTGAACAGTTACACAAGAAGTAATTAAGTTTTCAAGACGAAATTTCATATTTATACCCTTTAGTAGTGTTGTTACCTAATGAATTTTGTTAATTACCCACATTATTAACAAATCACCGTAAGAATACATTGAATGCACCTCGTAGCTGAGAAGGAAACACTTAGGAAGGAACACTTTAAAGTTTTAGTTTAATTTAAAATAAACAATTTGAAAACAAATAAAGCTAATAGGGTTAAAAATTGTCTTACTATCAGCAGGAATTTACAAGACTGTGTGCATACGTATATGTGCAGTTAAATTATTATATATTTCAAAATGGTCCATTTATGTAGTAAAGAAAGATGAACTTTAGTGATATTCAAGTTCTAAAATGCTATAATTAACTTATGATTGTTATATAAAGATTAATTAATATAATACTGACGGCTGATGGCTCCGTGGCGCAGTGGCTTAGCAATGAGTTATTGCGCGGGTTCGAATCCCGCACGGAACAAATATTTGTATGGCCTACAAATAATTGTTCCAGGTCTGGATCTTTGTCCTTATGCAATTTATGTTTGTAAACTGCTTCCACGATACAGGAGAAATTCCTAGTTTGAAGGTAAAGTTAAAAAAAAATTGTCATAGAGTTACAAGTTGTCAACAATCCTGACAATTATCTTCCAGGTGCTGCACTGTCTTAAGTCGCTTTGCGTCTTTGACGCCGGTGATTATAACATTCAGCGTGACGTCAGCACGCCTACCTTCAGAGTGGATGGAGCAAAAAGAGGGGCGGGAAGAGGTTGGGGTACCAGTGGACTCAGAGGCAATTTCGGAAGCGGATTTGGAAATCAAGGAGGCTTCGGAAATAGAGGAGGAGGCATTGGAAACAGGGGAGGTTTCGGAAACAGGGGAGGCTTCGGAAATAGGGGCGGCTTTGGAACTAAGGGCGGATTCAGTAACCAAGGCGGCTTCGGAAATAAAGGCGGGTTTGGTTATCAAGGTGGTTCTGGAAATAATGATTATTTTGATGGTGGATCAGGAAACGGTGGCAATTATGACGACAGTGGCTATGGTAATGGAAGTGGATTCGGAAATAAGAGCGGCTTTGGGAAAAGAGGCGGTTTTGGAAATGATGGAGGATCTGGAAATTGGAGTAGCTTTGGAAATGGGAGTGGTTTTGGTAATAAGAGTGGTTTCGGTAATGACGACGGCTTCGGAGATGGAGGTGACTACTCTAATTCAGGGGGCTTCAACAATAGAAGTGGTTTTGGTGGTAGAAGAGGTTTTGGTAATAGGAGGCGTGGTGGTTGGAACTAAGCATTCCTATAAGCAAAGTAGCAAACTTACTAGTATAATTGGAATCTTACCATTGTGTGACTTTAAATAAAATATTTAAACAGCCTTGTTTCATTTTGATCATTGCCAATTCCAATAGTAATAATACTCAGAAGTCTAGGAAGTTATATTTACCCGCATTCAAAGCAATAGAAGTTCTGCAGTTTTGTGTGGATGCGTGCTGCTAAATTGACGGGATACGATCGCAATTGGGGCGGGTGCAAGACGGGATATATGTGCTATGATATAATCTCCAACGTCCCCTGCAGTTAAAAATTGCAGAATGTGATTCTACTAGTTATCCCCCAGTACAGCGATAGCTACAAGCAACATCATGCAAGTTGCAAGCATAAATAACATAACATTTACATTTATATAGTCTTAGGGTGTTTTTAATTTGTTCTTTGTTGAGTATAATATAGACTAGACTCAATTTTGACAGAAATTATCTGAATACCGGCTTTCTGCCACCGCAGTATTGCCCCATGAGTTCTTAGTAAGTATATTTTCATAAAAGTTAAATGTATCGTTTACTGCAAAACTTCAGCAGACTTGTCCAAGTTAACGAATTGAAAAACAGCATCTAGATGGGATCTACCTTCTTTTTTTTATAAATATAACTGAATTGACAAACAAACTTGGGGCTCTGCACACGGTGCGTTGCGACGCCTGCGTCGAGTAAATAAAAATCCGTGGTATGTCACACGACGCCGCACGTCCGCCGGACATGCTACCCGCGTGACATGACATAAGACAGAGAACATGCTTGCTTTTTTTTGGTTAGGTACTTACCTAGTTATAATTGAGATTTAAAAAATGAGCATCAATGATGACGACATTGATATGGACTACGTCATTTGAAACTTCGTTACCGCGCCGTAGCAACGCCGCACCGTCCGTGCCCACCAATGCGGCGAAATCTTGCCGCGCCGCCGCAACGCACCGTATGCATAGACTCTTACAATCCACCATATACCAGTGATAGTGACTACTGCAGTCCACGGACACCTAGCTAAATTCAAACAAAGGCTGTTGATGCTTTGTAACCTCTGAAGACAAAGATGGAATGCTTCACAGCCTGAAATTATACTAGCTATCTATATCCCTCAGACTAGAACATAGTAGTGCAAGCACTGCTATTTGACAATAGAAATTAGTAAGGAGTCCTGTCCACGTAGTAATCCCATATAGTGACTATTAAGAAAATATGGTTCACTATAGAAAAATATAAATCTATCCTAATTTTCCTTGAATAGAGCAGGTAAACAATAGGCCTATAACAGTGTTTTATAAATCAATTCAATTGTAATCAGTAACAATCATCATGGTCTGACATGTAACCACTTTAGATTTTATTTAAGCATGCTCGAGAGCAGTGGTGTGCAAACTTTCTTAATGGGGGGCCAGAAAGTTTATAAAATTTCATAGGAGGGCCAGAATTATAGGAAAAATGCATTTTGTATTGAAACTTTTAATCATATAAAAACATTACAGCATTACACGCTTGCACAAATGTTAAAAATTACAATTTAACTTTTATTCGAAGGCCCTGCTATGGTAGGCATGTGAGACATGAAATTGCTTTTGATTTGCCATAATATTTTCAAATGCAGGTTCGTGCTGTGACAAAGTAACTTTCAACAGCGCAAAAAGGTGTTCATCAGCAAGTCGTTTTCTGAATTGAGTTTTTCTGCAATTTCATGGTCGAAAAGTCTATTCGCACACGTACAACTGCACAAACATGGCCATAATTTTTTGGGCGTGAGCAATCATCTTTGGGAATTCAGCTTTAGGCAGTGTTCTATAAAAATCTAGCTATGGGCCCCGCAAATTGCAACAGATGAACTACACGCCTAGTCTAGCTGGCTCCTTTACCCATGCGTCTATTATTCTGCCAAGTAGAATCTTACATTATACTTCTGAATTGTCAAAATATAATTATCGTAGGACATATATAATTCATGTTGAAGGACCGTCAGCGGGCCAGAGGTGGCCCGCTGGCTGCACTTTGCCCATCACTGCTCAAGAGCATTTTCAGTACTATTAACATGAATTATATACAAGTGACAAGAATAGCAAGTGTAAACTATAAAACTGTTGTTGCTGAACCATAAAAACAAAAAAAAATTTGTAAAATATTAAATGTAATTTCATTAGTATCTATTTATGAGTTCTCTATTTTTAAATGTCATTTAACAATATTATATTTGCTGCTTCTTAGATTCCACTTGAAGATACAAGGGCATTCTACCACATTTCTGCTTTTCTCTTTTATGTACCTTTAATTGGTGTTTCATCATTTGCTTTCTGTAACCAAACGCCTTGCCACAAATGTTACAAATGTGGTCTTTAATACCAGCATGATCTACTTTAAAGTGTAGGTCTAGAGCTCTGTTTGTGTAGAATCCTCTACCACATGTTTCACATTTGAAGTCAAACCCGCTTTTATGTGTCAACATATGCTTATTTAAATTACTTTTATTCACAAATTTAGATGGACAGTGTCCACACTGATAAGGTTTCTCTCCTGTATGAGATCGCATATGCATCTTTAGGGCCTCTTTAAATCTACCTTTATATGGACACAATGAACATTTGAATGGGAGATTGTTGAAATGTGTAGCCCTGTGACGGGTGAATTGCCCTTGAACAACAAATTTCTTACCACAAACATCACACATGTATGATGATTCCAAGGTGTGTAAAGCCATATGTTTTTTAAAATATAATGAACTATAAGTATTGTTGCATATTGGACATTTTTGTCTCACATTCTCATGCTCCTGTGATAACCTGTGCTCACTGTACTCTATAAATGTATCAAAATCTGCATTACACTTTTTGCAAAGATACTTTTTCGGTTTATCTTCTCCAATAAATTCCGTAAAAGTAGTTTTATTCAAATTATCCTCCTTTTTTATAAAATCCAGTGAAGATTTTATTTCTCCACATAAACTGTTCTCGTTGTCGGACACTGCTTCCTGTGGTGGGAACCGAAGTAACTGGTCTGATTCTTGTGCAGTTTTTCGAAATAATATAGCGCCCTGTAAAAGAGCATAACATGGCTGACAAAGATATTTTGGATATATATCGCCTGGTCTCACGTCTATTCCACCGAAGTTATGTAAAGCCTCAGATATATCTTCCAACCGACTGTCATCATAAATTGGAATATCGCCTTCCTTTAGGCAAACCCTGCAGGTTTGTTTTACATCGGCGTCATTGAATGTTTTCTTAATAGTAGTTTCAGCAGTTATATGAGTGTTTTCACTTATATCTTTTTTGGCATCACAACTTTTTCTCTTTTTTAAACGTTTGCAATGTACTAGCTTCCAAAGCATTAAACTTCCAACCATTATTTTTTATTGAACAGATATTGATGAACAGACATTGAATAGTGCAAATGAGGTTTTAAGACAATGAAACAATCGGAACTTTGGTAATATTATTTCAATTTAATTTATCAACAAATAATTATATGAACTGCATGTTACTATATAGCAAAGAGAATATAATCACTACGTTTACTAGGTATATAGTTTGTGATGAACCACAGAACTTTCAGTATATAAAAAGTACTCTGTGCACAGAACACAATACTACCCTTAGGGGTTTTGGCGGGAAATTGACCGGCGGCGGTTTGCTGCTCCTGTATTATTGTTTAAATAATGGTTTGAAGTGGACTTTGATATGTAAAAGTGTTGCGATTTTGTGTATTAAGTGTCTACGCATGTGAACTATTAGTGGAAACAGTGAAACAAGTGCTCTGATGGTGATGGATTCTCAAGATAAGCTGTTTGTTTGCATAGGCACCTTTAGATACCATCGCCAACTATCAGCTGTCTGCTGGATCAAGTTGCCGCCAAAATCTCCCAAGAACTGCACAATGTGACGCATCAACATATTGTGAAGCAGTATACTATGAAGGAGTGGGGAAATTACAATAAACCAAATAAAAATACTTAAGACTTGGCCTAAAGGTCTAGATACCAGGCCATAAACTCCAAAAAAAAAACTACCCTTAGGCGGGATGAAAACTATTCTACTCAGGGTCTCAGGGTTGCCACTTCGAATTCGAAAATTATCTTGTCTAGACTCCAGTGTTGTTATCGTATAAGGCTGGCTTTTCACTATGGGATATAATATATATTATATCCCGCGATTGGTTTTCACACTGTGAGATATATCTTTTAACTAGTGTGCGTTCTTCATTGGTCATTGGATTACCCCCCTTTACCCCGTACACCGTTCTGCGGGGGCGCGGAACGGTGTGCGGGGCACAGGGGGCGAAATATAATATGAAAATATCCCTCGGATGATCGAAAAAATATTTATAGCTTGAGATGTAATATATATTATAGCTCAGTGTAAACAGTTCCATATGAAATGTATGGTGAGCGATATTAATTTATATCTCGAGATGTAATATATATTATATTATATCCCATAGTGAAAAGCGGGCTTTAATCTGAGCTTCTGTATGTCACAGTCTGGAATGCAGTATTTTAAGGAATAAATTACTTAATTGCCGTTTTTCAATATTTATTTTAAAAATGTCTATATCTCATTTTTTATGATGCTTATTTGTCACGTGTCGCACATGGTGCACTTTGCTCTATAGGAATTAGGTACAGATAGGTATTCTGTTCTATATGTTTCCCATTTTCTGTATTGTTTTTAAAGTTTCCCATTTTTTTGTCTTTTTGGCAAACAAGGTCCTTCAGAATTGCATTCACTCATATTATCGATAATTAATCAGAATTAAACGCAGAGTGTGGAATTATTTCACTCGCAACAGTAACGTACTTTAATCAGTTAAGTCAAAGTTAAATGAATAAATGAGCGCTAGGTCGTACTCAACTCGTAGGTTAAAAAATAATAAATTGGTAGTAATAAAACGTTTCATATCATATAATAAAGTCTCAAAGGTATTCCACAACTATGGCTGTAGTAAGGGGGCGCGTATAAGATTTGTTGTATGCATGTTAATTATCATGCATAAAAACAAATCTGTTTCCTACAAAAAGGACAAATGGCACTACAATTTCTTCCAAAATGTCAGTTACATATCGTGCCGCTATTAGTGACCTATTCTAAAAGACACGGAGTTCCGTACGTGCACCCATACAAATAAACTCCCCATACCATAACTGAACCTCCTCTCTCCTCATTGACAATATACCTCTTTTCCAATGATGTTGTACAGAGCATACCTCGTCTCTCCTCCCTCTGGAGCCGCTCCACACTAATTCTTCCAAAATCTGGACTCATCTGTGAATGAAATTTGACTCCCAAGCTTCGTCATTCCAATTTCCATAATTGCGAGCAATTTTTTTTCTAACTAAGGGGTCTCTATCAAGCAAGTGTGAATTTATTCCGGCCGATTTGAGTCTTTTTTACTAACTTAATGTAACGCCTCAAACTTATTGGAGCTTCGATCTTACTTTAGAAGAAGTTAAGAGCCGGTTTCTAAGCAACCGGTCATCTCTGTCATCCCCGTTTAAGTTCCTGTCTTGCGAGATTCATATACTGATCGGTCTGCCTTGCCTTGCAGTGCACCACAGATTTTAATACGCGTTTTGTTTGAGCCACATGTTTGTATTTGTGCCCAGTTTTAATTAAAGTAACCAGCAACTTGAGTGGCCTTTAGATCTGGTATTCTTAGTTTATACGTGGTAGAGCCATGCTGCAGCTATATTGGTAGTATAGTTGTAGCACCATTCATGCTACAACTATACTAGCAATATAGCGCGTTAAGACTTATTACTTTTGTTTAATAAGCTTGATAGAGCCATGCTGCAGCTATATTAGTAGTATAGTTGTAGCACGAATGGGTCGGCTCGACCGGGGAAGGACCACGCTCTCACAGAATACCAGCGTGAAATAGCAGCCTAACACTGCTGTGTTTTGTATGGTGAGTGTAGAGAACCGGAGAGCTTTTTTACTGGAAAAGGGGCATTTCATCTTAGTACTCACGGGTGACAACGCATCTGCATTTTGATTCTTTATTCAGGATAGATGTAGATGTCTATGGGTCACAGCAAACACTTACCATCAGGTAGACTGTGTGCTCGTGTGTCACCCTATCCTTTAAAAGAAAATTGCAACAACAATTCACACTTAACACTATAAACACGGCAGTAAACGCAAAAATTAAAAAAAAATTTAAACTCAAATTCTAAAGTAAGAATAATTTTTATCAGAGTGAAAGATCGCATTACGCAATAATTACATAAAAACAAAAAATTAAATATGAAAAAAAGAACATTCCAAAACTCCTTTTTTTGGGTTCCTCTAAATTTGTCTATGGATGTAGATATGGGATATTGTACCGATATATGGATATTGTATCTCTACGTTTGGTATCGCCCACTACTAGTTCTAATCCTACCAAGGTTTCCTAACCTTTTTTTGAACAGGGACCACATTGATTTTTTTTAAGTTAGCAGTAACCAGAAGGTGAAAGAAAAAACTGTATTAATGTAACAATAAATTATAATCTCAACTTTTAACATAATTATATAATAAACTTAAAATAAGCTTTCATTAATAGTATTATTTGTGTATTTATTGTAAAAGGTAGTGCTAGCTACTTCTAACGTGACGCGCGGTGTTACGCTGCCTGCGTGACGAGAAAATAATAAATATGTTATTTAAAACAATTAGGTGGGTAAAATATTTAAATCTTTCGCGGACCATATTTAAGCTCTTGCGGACCATTGGTTGGGAATCACTGTCTTTTAGGACGAAAGGAGTACAAACACAAATAGGTTCAAGTCCTAGAGTATTTATAAGCAAGCATTAGAGCGCGCATTAGCGTTTATGAATAGTAAGCACGGCTATAAATGGTCCAAAATGGGAAGGGCTATGTTGTAAGTCATAAAATATCACGCTCGTTAATTGTTTCTTTTGACGGCATTTATTTGAATTTTAACTGGTGAAATGTGCAGTGCTAAGCTGAAAAAACGATTCAAAGAAGCAAACTAAGAAGAACAATGATATTTTTTTTTTCATTGGTTTGTAATATTTCGATAGTAAAAAAGTGCTTTTAACAAAATTACTTAAGGTGTCAAAGGGTGTCATGAGGGTGCGCGGCCAGTACGATACAGCACGTTGCCCGCGAGTCGCACTTCGGGTTTTCCCTGTATTATAGCTGTACCATGTTCAACTCAAATGTTTTTTTATAACATGATTTCTTTCGTAATAATTATAACATGATTATAGTTTTAGAAGTCGAGATCCTTTGTTTTCCTAACCCATATGGATCAATTTCTTAAATAAAAATTTTGAATAGCATTTTGTACAAGTTAATAATAAAGGTAAATACGGTTAAAACACTTTTCAGATTCCTGAAAATCAGTGAATTAGCAATAAAATGGGCCAACTGGGGAGTTTCGTTTGTTTCATACCTTTTAATGCTTTGTACATTTTTCAAAGCAAGGGTGGACTGCGCAAGCTGGTTAAAGGTACAATATCGAGCTTAAATTTGAAACAAGATTACACTTATTTAAACCGATTAAAAAACTATCTTTGGCAGTTATTTATGTAGGTAGCTAAATAATTACGTGTTCACGATTCAAACTATTTATAATGATTTCAAAACTAATGGACGTCACTAACTGATATTAGAATGAGATATCTTATATGTAAAACTACGATCAAGTAAACAAAACTACAATTATGTAATAAGTTAAGCCTTATTAAACGGTAGTACCCAAATTAATTAGATTTTTATGTTTGATTTATAAACATCGTTTTATAAAATCGTACCTCTTTTACTGATCTGCTAAAACCTACCTTATAATTACCCACCTACTTATTATTTACTAAATACTTACCTAATTTAAATTAATAACTGAAGTACAATTTCTATAGGCATCAATCTTGGCGCATCACTATTCAACCGCTATAGCTATGTATCAGTACTTTATTTTATTTTTTCTTTTTTTCGTTTTAAAATACGTTACCCCCACACTAGGATTTTCTCCTGTATCGTGGAGGCAGTTTACAAACATAACTTGCACGGGGACAAACATCGAGACCTGGAACAATTATTTGTAGACCGTAAAAACACTTGTTCCGTGCGGGATTCGAACCCGCGACCCCAGCGCAACAACTCGTTGCTAAGCCACTGCGCCACGGAGCTGTCAGTTTATATAGAACACCTGCTGACGCTCTGCATAAAAGGTATAGGTCCCGTCACTTAAAAAGAACGCTGGCCTTGTATCTGCGCACTGAGCGATTTTTCGATCAAATTGGTGGTATGAAGGGGGCGCGACGGGGGAATGCTTACCAATATTACTGTACATGCACGCTATTGGTTCGTCAGTTGACCCATGCTTCCCGCGCTTCGTTCGCTCCCAAAAATACAGTCGCACACACAACTTTCTATGCACGACGCGCGACGATGGTTTTAAAAAAGAAGGAAAGAAAAATTATTTATATTTATTGTTTTATGACTGAACTAGTGAACGAAAAGGTGAATATGATGGGAAAAGGTGAATTTCGAAAAATTGTACAGTAAAGTTAAAAGTATTGAGGAAGAATACCGAAAAAATTACCATGTGGTCGACCTGATGACGGAAACATTTAACATTCGCGTTGATTATGATAATTCTGATGACGGAAACTCAAGCGAAGATGAAAGTGAAGATAAAGTATCATCCAGTAACACCAACACACCATCGACATCTGGCTTCCATGTGACTCAAGACGATATAATGGACGGCGCGGCGTGTCACTCTTAGCTTAAGTTTTCTTGTTACAACCAACTTTATATTTTACGACAGAAATAAAAAATAATGCTCAAGTAAATATTATCTATTTGTAATTCCAACCTGTTCCAAAGTTCTAAGTAGCCGGTAAAGCACCTATTATGATTTTAGAATAAAACAATTACCCTTATATTATAGCATAGTACTATCTATTACTTTAGAACGCGACTGTACCCATAAGCAGATACATCCCCTCCACTGTTGCTCAGCGGTCTTTTTACTTCTTCTTCTTGATAACTAGCTTTACGGCTCTGTGATCTAGCCCTTCTGAGCCTGAAGTTACAATATTATATTATAATAATTATTCTTCATAGTATACTGCTTCACAATATGTTGATGCGTCACGTTGTGCAGCCCTTGGGAGATTTTGACGTTAACTTGAGCCAGCAGACAGCTGACGGTTGGTGATGGTATCTCAAGGCGCTTAATTAGACAGGCACCTTATTTTGAGAATCACATCACTATCAGAGCACTTGTTTCACAGTTTCCAATAATAGTTCACATGCGCAGATACTCGATACACAAAAACGCACCACTTTTACATATCAAAGTCCACTTCAAACTATTATTTAAACAATAAAACAGGAGCAACAAACTGCCGCCGGTCAAGTTCCCGCCAAAACTCCCGTTCTTTTTACGTGACGGGACCTGTACAGAATACTTTTACTCCTATCGGAAATGCATAACGGACAATGAGCTAATAGTTATCTGTGGCAATGAGCATTAGCGATACGCGCGCTCTATAGCTTGCTTCCGTGTTTATTTCTACTCTAAGGCAACTCAAGGTTCCTTATTTATGAGAAAATTTGGCGGGAACTTGACCGGCGGCGGTTTGCTGCTCCTGTATTATTGTTTAAATAATGGTTTGAAGTGGACTTTGATATGTAAGTGGTGCGATTTTGTGTATTAAGTGCGCATGTGAACTATTAGTGTAAACTGTGAAACAAGTGCTCTGATGGTGATGTGATTCTCAAAATAAGGAGTATGTCTGCTGGCTCAAGGCGCCGTTAAAATCTTCCAAGGGCTGCGCAATGTGACGCATCAACATATTGTGAAGCAGTATACTGTTACGTGTTTGGGGTTCGAGACAGTTAAAAACTGCCGATTGAATTATCAAAATTGACACTTTAATTACACAACACTAATAATAAAACATAATTGTACTACTGATCACTTAAGTTCGCAGTTATTTCGCTTCGAAGTATTCTCTTGTATCGCCAATTCAATACTGACTCGGTCGTTTTTTTTTTTTTTTTTTTTGCTCCCGAAGCAATTGGAAATGGGCTACCCCGAAGGGAGGCAGAAAATGCATTACGCATACCACGATGGCCGGTCCATCGTGGTTATGAGGGACTCACGACCTACAAGGGGAACCTAAGTGATACCCTCTAAAAACTGCCTTTGGGGACTGGCAACCAGCTGTTGAAAGCTTCACATGCCATATCTAAAGCGACCCTCTTTTGGGAAAAGAGAGCGCAGACGGCTAAGTGCCGTTTAGGGACTGCCTACGAAGGCATATTGATTTTAAATAATTTTTACTTTAATTAGTATTGGCCTGAGCCGCCAGAAGGCAGTTCAGGTCGCTTGAAAGTTTATTTGGCTGGTCCGAGAGAGTGTTTCTCGGCCTGCGGACGGTATAGCGGGAAGGGAGTGGGGCGGTATAAGTTACTGCCTCACGAATTAATGAGTTATTGTGCGACTCTGAAACTTTAAAAAAGTTTTCAGAGAGAGTTTTAGTAAATTGCTGAATTGTTGGGATTTCTAAATCCCGGTGAAGATCGGCATTACGGACGTACCAAGGTGCGTTCGTAGCTCGACGACAGAATAAGTTTTGAACTACTTGTAGTTCGTTAATAATTTTATTATCGGCGTGTGCGAATACGGGGGCCGCGTAAGTCATTACGGGACGTATACAAACCTTATTAAGGGTTCGCTTATTTCTTAGTGACATTTTACTATGTCGGCCTAACATACTGTTAAGCCTACCTAGGTATAAACGAGCTAGACGTGTTACTCTTTTGACATGAGACTCAAAAGTAAGCCTGTAGTCAAGGGTGACGCCTAAATATTTTGCTGACATATGCCATGGGACAGGGGTCCCTAGCATTCGTATAGGTGGAGTATTTTTCTTGTTTTTATTACGGCGTCTTTTAATATCGAATTGAACTGCGGAGCTCTTCTCCGGGTTCACATCGATACGCCATTTTTGGAACCAATCTCCTAGGTCATCGACTGACTTTTGGATCTTGTTCCTTGCTGAAGATATTCTAGGACTTTTGAAGTATAGAGCAGTGTCATCTGCGAAGAGTGAGAGCTGTACACCATTCGACGGGATTGGAATGTCGTTGGTGTACAAGATGTACAGGAGGGGAGCTAGTACTGATCCCTGAGGAACACCAGCTTTAATGGGGCGCTGAGAGGATAACGTGCCTTCGTGTCTAAATCGAAAGTTACGATGTTGTAGGTAAGAGGCTACGAGACGTACTAGACGATCGGAGAGTCCTATCTTATATAATTTGAAAATAAGGCCTTCGTGCCAGACGCGGTCGAAGGCTTTGGCAATGTCGAAAAAGACCGCGATTGTCTTTAGTCGACGTGGATAAAAACCGCTGAGGACATATTCCACAATGCGGTGTACTTGTTGTGGACACGAGTGTTTCGCACGGAAACCAAATTGGTGTGGGATGACAAGGGGGTCACCGTCTGTGGGAAACAGATGGCGCCTCATTCGAGTTTGAATGACTCTTTCAAAGAGTTTGCCCATGGCCTTTAGGAGGCTAATGGGACGATGACTGGAGGGGAGGTTAAGAGGCTTGCCTGGCTTGGGAATACCAATGACAATTGCCTCTTTCCAAGTAGTAGGAAAATAACTAAGATTGAAACAGGCGTTAAAGATAATAGATAAGAGGGTTAACACCTGCTCTGGAAAGTTTTTAAGGGCTTGGTTGGATACGCCATCCGCGCCCGGAGACTTTTTGGGCTTAAGTCCTTTGATGATGGATGAGATCTCATCATTGGACACAGTGATAGGGTCAGAGGATGTGGGGGGTGAGTTCCGGCGGCGGACCTCATCTTCCACTTCCTGAATGTGTGAGGGGTCGACAGGTTGAGAGCTAGGAGAGCATTGTGCGGCAATGCTGTCTGCAAAGCACTCAGCCTTTTCGTCGTCCTCGAAGGCAACCGTACCGTCGGGGCGGGAGAGAGGGGGAGTGTGAGCTGTAGCGTCTATACGGAAGGCTCTAGCCATCTGATAGTACGCTGTATGAGAAGGAGTTATATTCTCCATGAGTTCACTCCTTTGGAGGTCTCGAAATTCAGAAAGGTGCAAACGGAGTTTTCGTTGAAGACGATTAGCCGTATGCCTATATTCGGGGGTGGGATATTTAGCTGCTCTCCGGAAAGCAGCTTTTTTAGCTTTTAATATGTTGCTAATATATAGGGGAAGCCCATTAGTATTAGCAACCGGGACGACCCTTTCATTCTCCTTAAGGGAGGATTTAATTAGGGTTGAAAGTGATTCGACCGCGGTGTCGATTTTTACGGGACTGTCTAAGTCTAAATCCGACGATAGGTAATTAGGGGAGTCCTGCGAGTCCATAGCTTTTGCTAGGGAGTCCTTGAAACCTTTCCAGTTAGTAAAGGTTTTCGTAGTTATAATAGGGGGAGGCTGATGGCCAAAACTCGGTCGTGGTCTATACCGGCCTTATATAGTTTCTCAGATAGTTTCCAGAACCTTCTATTATAGCGACATCTAGAATGTTCGAGTACATATCGGTACCGAAATGTCGAGAAGGATCTTGACTCTCCTAGTTCTGCTACTCGACACTAGAGGGCGCTAGTGAGAACTAGTGTTGCCATATACAAGACATTGATAGTGGCGCGCAACAATACTATGAAAGATAATTATAATATATTGTAACTTCAGGCTCAGAAGGGCTAGATTCCAGAGCTGTAAAGTCAGTTATTAAAAAAAATCCTTATTTATGAGTTATGACATTAATTTGATGTCAAAAATGTCACTAAATTTAAATAACAACACAAACTAAATAGAAATTTAGTCTTTCAATTAACAAGATATTTTACCGAAACAAAAGTATAATAGTGAAAGTAGTGATTTTTATACTCATTGTAAAATAGTATAAGAAAAGCCTGAAATGAATATCGTGAAGGTTGTATACTCAAATTTTTAATACATAACCTATATTTCTTTTTATATCACTGTGAAGTGTCTAATACAATTAGAATCTTCTTTGTTTAAAATACATTTAAAGGGTAAATAATAAATACGTATAGTGTTATAACAGAACCTTACTGATTTTAACTAGGGTTTTTGGAGGTCTGCACCTGTATTCCGCAGCAGCTTTGCGTCTAACTACAACACTATAAGCCATGCCATACGACCGTTATCAACTACTACAACATCTCCCTTATCAAAGCCAGTGGATAATGCACCTTCATTGGAGCTAGATAAATTATACAAAAGAGTGGAATTAGAAATGAGAGGCATTGATCCTGCTGTACTTTTAAGCTATTCATGGTTTTGTATTGCAGCAGCTTCTCACTTGGGTATTGAAGTAACAAAGAAGTAAGTTATAACTTGTTAATATAAGGATGCAAACATTCTAGGTTTAAATTGTTTGAATAATTTTAACAACCTGAAGAATTTTTTTTACTTTTGTTGAAATGAGAGTAGGTAGTAGAAATAGTTGCATTAAGAAAAAAATTGGGCCATATAAATACTATCAAGTCAAATAGTTCATCCATTCACTGCATCTTATAAGTCTATTGCTGAACATAGACCTCTCCCATAGAGAGGGATTTAGCCATAGTTTCCACGCGTTGCAGGCAAATAGGCAACCACAGTTTTTTATCAGAAAGATGTAGCTGTCCAACTCTTTGTTTCAGTTTCCCTCTGTGCTTTCTTACGACACCTACAGGATGATATGATACAAGTCAAATTGTATTTAGAGATATTAAAAAACCAGAAGATTTACATATTTAATTTAATACAATAATAATTTAATTAAAAATTTAAACTTGTGTCTGAAGTAGTCTTTGCTGAACAAAGTCTCGGATTGGGGGCGAAATCTAGTCCAGTTCAATCCCCAGAAGACACAAATTTGTGCTTTTACTGCTAAAAAGAACCCCTTTGTTGTATCTCTTCAGTTTCAAGACAAACCCTTTACTGCCTCAGCTACCATCGGAATCCTCTGCTTCGACATATCGAAATGTGTGCAGTTTTGTGGTCACTTGGAAGGGAAAACCAAATAGGCCGCTAAAATGCTTAGCATGCTCAGAAGAGCGTGACAGTATTTCATGCCAGCACATAACTTACAAAGCACTAGTTCGGCCTCACATGGAACACTGTTCTCATCTCTGGACCAAGACACCCCAGTGCTAGTGCCTTCCACTTGACTGCATCCAGTGCAGAGCGGTTTGAATCTTCAATAACTGAGTTCTTTCTGATCGGCTCCATTTACTGGCACTGCGTTGGGATGTTGTATCTCTTTGCATTTTCTATCGCATCTACCACAGGGAGTGCTCCTAGGAATTGTTCGGATTAATTCCAGCCTCCAAATTTCACGAACGCACATTGCCTCAAAGTTCACAATACCATCGTCACCATGTGGATGCTTGGTGGTCCACCACTGTGTGTTTTACTAAGAGTTTTCTTATTCGTACAATTTCTCTGTGGAATTGTTTACGACCAGTGACTTAGGGACCTTCAAGAAAAGAGCTTACTCCTTTCTAAAAGGCCGACAAGGCACCTGCAATTGCACTGCTGTTGCGGTTGTTCATGGACGGCGGTAGTCACCATCGGGTGAGCTGTATACTCGTTTGTGCCCGCTTCCATAAAAAAAACAGTGTATATATAATTATGTACTTTTTAATAATTCTGAACTGGTGGAAACCCTTTTTACTTATTGCAGAGTTGAAAAACTTTTTTCCTTCCTATGAAAAATTGTTAGTTTAGGACTTTCAAAGACAAAAAATGATAATGCACACTAATTTATAAATTTAGTGTATTTTAAAGTAGTTTGATTACATTCTTAAAAGAGGCAACATTTATTATATGTTTATAATTTATATTTTTCAAAGAATGACATTTTTATTCATCATATTAAGATGAAATTTATCACAGTACATAATAATATTATACAAATATTTAATTATATACATAAATAACCATTATAATTTTATTGCAGTTGGGCTTTGAGGAAAGCTGAAAAGGAAAGGCATACTCTCTTAAGGTGTGTTCACATTTATAAAAAACACAGAGTTCAGTATGAGATTCGGACATACTTCAGATTCATACACTTGCAGCGGCTCACAGGGTCTACTTGTGACACTTACTTAGAATATATTGAGAGGAACCTACCTGAAGGCTGTGCACTTAAAGTCACAAAAGTAGAATGTCAGAAATTACCTGAACATTTTATACCACCTAGTAAATAGTTTATTACATAAAAATACAGTTATCATTGTCTTCTTAAATTTGAATCTTGGAATAAAATGGAAAAAATTGTTTTTCTTATGTTTAGAATAGTATAAAAATTATTTAGTAAGACTTGTTTAAAAAAATATAACTTATCATTTAAATTACTTGTTCTTTTACTTTTCTAATATTACATAATGTTGTTATAATCATTTCAACACCTTATGAGTTATTGTAGAATATGAGTAGTTTTCATTATTATGTAAACACTACATACAGACTACAAATGTATCTTACTGCAAATAGTTCTCTCATGTTACATCTGTAATAATAGGTATTTTATTACTAATTATGTCATACCCTTACTGAATGGATATTATTTAGACACCTAGCCCTGTGTCAGCAAAGTTCTGAAAAGAAAAGGGTCGCCCTTTTATGCCTAGTATGCTCTGTGCTGTTTAGCCCAATGACGTGATGAGCTAATCTTCGAAGTAATGCATACCTGCTGGCATCTTCTATTATTATACATATATTATATAATGCTTATTTAGAGATCGCATAGACATATTTTTAAGTATGGGTAATGTTAAAATACATTTTTAAATGGAAGTTTTTTAGAAATATACGAGTATAATAGATAATAAAGCTTACTACATTAGTACAATAAGATTAATAATTAATAAGAATGGAAAGAAAATCAGTCTGTCATCTGGGAAAAACACCTGCAATTTACTTCTAAAAGACATTAAATACATACTAAACAGTGCTTACTATCCACAAATTTATTAACAAGATTAACATTTTCTCTGTCCTTAAAATATTTGTTCTTTCTTACTCACAGGACTGGGAAATTGCTCAATAAATTTTACTTATAATTTTGTAATTGTATTGGGATTAAGGTTAAATCTTTTTATATTGCATCCAAAGAGCAACACAATTACTTGTGTAATTATTCTAGAAAATTCAAATAGGGTACACATGGAATGTACTTTTATTTCAGTCCCCAACATCTTTGGCCATCAATATTTCTTTGGCAATGAAGAAGTTTTGAATCTGTCCTATTCATACCGATGACTTTTGCAGACAGTCAAAATGAATAAAATGGCAAAGACAAATTCAAGAGCATGAAACATGAGCATCACTGCACACCAGATGTACTCAAGTCTGAGAATGTAGGTCTGATATATCAAAAAGTAGCATACACCAACTGCAGATGGTATTGTTAAAATCACTGAGAAAAATACTGGCACTTCTGAAAAAAATTAACATTGTTATGGTTGAATAAAGCAATCTGAGATTATCAAATTGATAAAAAAAATTAATTTTAAAATGGTAATCAAATAGGTTAATACTAAAAAAGTTATAACATAACAAACCTACGCAAGTCACCCAGACAGGTAGGCAGAGACTACAGATTTCCATTTGGCAAGAGCCTGATACCACTTTCGTCTCCTTCACATTCATACATCTACACATACATGCTCATCGGTTAAGGGCACTCTTAATTTGGCAAATCTTCAATATATCTACAATTTGGTTAATAAACTTCATTCTTTCTATATGTCCAAACCACCTAAGCATTCTTTTCTTAAGCCCGTTTTCACTATGGGATATAATATAAAATATATTACATCTTGAGATATAAATTAATATCGCTCACCATACATTTCATATGGAACCGTTTACACTTAGCTATAATATATATTACATCTCAAGCTATAAATATTTTTTCGATCGACAGCAATATTTTCATATCATATTTCACCCCCTTTACCCCGCATACTGTTCCGCGCCCCCGCAAAACGGTGTACGGGGTAAAGGGGGGTAATCCAATGACCAATGACAAATGCACACTGGTTAAAAGATATATCTCACAGTATGAAAGCCAATAGCGGGATATAATTTATATTTCGGGATATAATATATATTATATCCCATAGTGAAAAGCCAGCCTTAATCTTGGTAACCGCATCTTGCAAACCAAACTTTTTTCTTATGTACAATTTCATACCGTCATACAGTCACCCCTAAGATACTCTTTAATGACTACATTTTTACAGCTTTAATTTACTTTCATGCTTTTGCCACACCAAACTTTCACAATAATGTAATACATGATTGATAATAACCCTTGGCCTGAGGTCATAGTTACCTTGTTATATTTAATTGAACAACATTGTAAATTATTATAAATTTATAGGGTCTTACTAGTTCTTCCTAGGGCACAGGTTTTTACCAAACCAATGCTAAAGGCATAAATGACATAAATGAAATAGAAAGTATAATATTAGTGTATTATGTTCTGTAATTGATTGCTTATAATTAGTAAGTGCAAGTAAATGTAGTGTGTAGTATCTAATGTATCATTTTATCCTACTGTGACTAAATTTTATTTAAGAGTACATACTTTTACTGGCTAAATTTCCTCTTCGGCCCAAGAAAATTCGGATAACTTCAACTAGACAAAGGGTACAAAATATCCCGGCTTCAGTCAGGAGAGCGTTCTCCGGGTAAGTAACATTTATAGCTTTCAAAATGCCCATAGCCACTTCACAAACGAAGAACATTCCTAAATAGAAAGAGTTCAAGTATAAAAGTATTTCATATGCTAGGCTGGAATTAACATTAGTCATCTTAGACATTTTATAGTTTTGCTCTATATATATATGCTTTTTCCTAGTGTTTGTGTTTGGCAATTTATGGACCCCTAGTCCCCTACAATGAATGAATTGAATGAAATTCACACTACTAGACTAAGATGTAAGAAACTGAAAATTTATAATAATCTATGTTTGAAATAGACGCGTTTATATACGAGATTACGTACGACTTACCACAGACTACCAAGAGGAATAAGATTTTTTTTTTGGAGTTTTTGGCCTGGTATCTAGACCTTTAGGCCAAGTCTTAAGTATTTTTATTCGGTTTATTGTAATTTCCTCACTCCTTCATAGTATACTGCTTCACAATATGTTGATGCGTCAGATTGTGCAGTTCTTGGGAGATTTTGGCGGCAACTTGATCCAGCAGACAGCTGATAGTTGGCGATGGTATCTAAAGGTGCCTATGCAAACAAACAGCTTATCTTGAGAATCCATCACCATCAGAGCACTTGTTTCACTGTTTCCACTAATAGTTCACATGCGTAGACACTTAATACACAAAATCGCAACACTTTTACATATCAAAGTCCACTTCAAACCATTATTTAAACAATAATACAGGAGCAGCAAACCGCCGCCGGTCAATTTCCCGCCAAAACTCCAAGAGGAATAAGAGGATGCTACTAGTGTTGCCTTTTTGAAAAAAGAAAGTCCCCCAGATCTCTATGAAAAAGTCCAGACTGAAAAATATTTCCTAAAAAATTCTTTAGTAGTTAAATATTTCAAAATATTCCATGGTAACTATATATAGTGTAAATAAAAGCAAATTTATATAATAAAGCATTTATTTATAGTAATTAAATCCCTATAGGTTTAAATAAGCAAAAATTTCGTTTTCTATTGCGACATTTTTGATTTCGACAAATATTAATGGCAATGAAGCAGCAGAAGTTGATGGTTCTACTGTAGAAGTACATGATTTTGTTACTTTAGTTTTCTTTTGTGTGTATATGTCAGCAGATTTTGAATCAGCGAACACATCTTTGCACAATTTTGTTAGATGTTCTATTTGAGAAATTGCTTTGAACAAGCTTACTTTCGGCTTTTGGTTATCTGTTTTTTTTTTTGTATCAGCGTGTATACTTAAATGATTTAATTTTTTGATTATTTCAAAATGACAAAATGAGCAAAAGGCTTTAGTTTGATCAGTCATAACAGGTTTTAACCACATCCACAATTAGATTCTGATATAAATGACGACAATTGAACACAGACACTGTTAGTAGTGCTAGGAACTAGGTATACACGTGGTAGAGCCATGCTGCAGCTATATTAATAGTATAGGTGTAGCACGACTGGGTCAGCTCGATCGGGGAAGGACCACGCTCTCACAGAATACCAGCGTAAAATAGCAGCTTAATGCTACTGTATTTCGTATGGTGAGTGTAGAAAACCAGAGACCCTTTTTACTTGAAAAAAAGCATTCCATCTTAGTCCTCAGGGCTGACAACGCATCTGCATTTTGATTCGCAAACGAAGATAGATGTAGATGTCTATGGGCCATAGCAACCACTTACCATAATATGGTAAGTGGTTGCTAAACCTGTTTATCTCTACCAACCTCTATAATATAGAGGAGAAGGAGGTAGGTTTATACCACAGAGTACTTTTTATAAACCGGAAGCCTGTGCTGTACATAACGTAAACAAACGACAGGTTAGGTAGTTAAATACACACTTGCTCTCAATCTGCTTCACAATCACAGAACACTATTACTCCTACGGACACTCACAATTGCTATGTAGAAAAATGCAAAATTATACTCTATTCCAATCACGAAGTCCCATTTGACAGATGTCAATAATCAAGTACTAGTAAAGTACCGCTATAGTCGATACTTGACGATATTGATCTTCGATTACTATAACGAACAAATTAATTATTTTGAGCACGATGACTAAAAACAATATGTTGATAGTGTGTGTGAATTAATTGTATAATGATTTAGATTGATTGTGTATTTTTAAATGATGATTTACGACCATGAACAAAAATGATTACTATTTCAAATTATGCGAAACGTTAACAGTTACGTTCTAAGAAGTGTCAAAAGGGACTTCGTAATTGGAATAGAGTATAATAACTTTCCTTATAACCTAACTAATTTTTAAAACTATCAAGTTCTGCAGCATATCTCACTATTTTTCATAATTAATATGTTTACAATATTTTCTTTTATTCATTTCTAAACAAGATTGTTTTAGTAAGATGATTGTGGAGACTAACTTTTTCTGTTGCACATTTACCAAAATATTTGTATCGAATATTTACATAATATTTGATTATACTCTTAACTAATAACTCTCTATGTTCAGTGTCATGTTGTAAATCAAGAGATAAAACATTTTTGATAAATCGTAATTCAATGTTTTTTTCATTTACTGAAATCGTAATCATACTTGAAAGTATAGAGTATTTCAGAATTTCTCAAAAAGTATCGATACATTTTGCGGATCATTAGATGTAATCAGATTAGGCGATTAGTCATGAACATAGCCACAAAGTTTATTTTTGTATTTACGCGAACAATACACATTGAATGAAACTACTTTTACGGATTTTATTTCGTTTAATTCTACTTATTTTTAATTAATGACACTTCGGATACTTTGCAGCACCAATGGTCACGGGAAAACGTTGGAAATTAAAAATAAGTAGAATCAAACGCAATATAAATCTCAAAAGTAGTTTTATTCAATGGCCACAAAATTTTATTTTGCTAGGATACATGAAAAACAACTGTCCCAGTAATGGTGGATAATCTAGTACGTACGTGTTCAGGCGGGGGGAGGTGGACTCGGTTCCCTAAAAAAAATTTTATCCCGAACGGTTCGCGGTCTACGCCATGTTTTATAAAATTGTTTTAGAATCCTTATGATATAGGCAAACTTTTTAAATGGTTGGTCACACAGATCCTATGCGTTTTTTTTTCACCACAGGTGCTCAAACTTAGCAGTTAAATAAAGTAAAAAATTTAAACTTACGTTTAGTGCCGTCTTGTAAAATACTACCCATAGTAGTTGAAAACTTTTAAGGGTAATTTAGAAACATCATTATTAGGGAACACATTAAAAGAAAAAAATCCGATTTAGACATTAAACTGCGGACGTGATGACCACAAATGTGAGCAGGATTACGAATTTTCGGAATTTTATAAAACATGGCGTAGACCGCGAACCGTTCGGGATAGATTTTTTTTAGGGAACCGAGGCCACCTCCCCCCCGCCCGAACACGTACGTACCAAATCATCCACCATTACTGGGACACCTGTATAATCTTTCTCTCTTGATACTTTTTGTCACAACAATATACAAGGTACAGACACCGGCAATTTATACTTTAATTTTAAATTTTTCCCCGCTTTTGAAAAATACTGGATAAATTGAATAAAATCAATATTAATTGGTCCTCTCAGTAATTTGAAAGTTGAAGGGATATTATCTTGTCCGTCAACATGCATAATTTGAAGTCTGGGCTTCCTACTCTCGATAATTGGAAGCGTTGTCATACACAGATCTGTCGTTTGTTTACGTACATGTAGGTACAGGCTTCCGGTTTATAAAAAGTACTCTGTGGTATAAACCTGTCTACCTCTACACTCCATTGTTTACATGAATGAGACAGACTTCTTTTCAAAATGAACATTTGTGAATAATTGTACAAATCTTTAAAATAATAAATCACGAATTTTGATCAAGCTTTTCTTTACTTGATTTTTTCCTCCCTCTCTCTTGGTTATCTAAATTTTCTCTGGTCCCTTGAATTATCGAGTCAACTGTATGTATAGAAATATATGCCATTATCATTACAGTCTATTAAAAGTTTATTGCTCTATGTTCAGCAATAGCATGGAGGCTAGTTGCCATGCTTGACAACTGTAGATTTTTTTTGGTTATTATTAGGACGACGTTGCTGTCCATCTAATGGTTTGTTTCTCTTTATCGCCCAAAAGACGATATGGAGTAGTGAGTGGTGTTTAACACCTGCCAAATTTTATTTCTCAATTTCTCCAGGGATTGACTGGTAGAGAATGCTATTAGACGTAAGGCCGCACTTAGTTTAAGGTGTCACGAGTATTAAGATTAAATAAATAAATAAAATAACGATGACAGAAAGTTAAATATAAAAAAAAAACACTTTATTTAAACACACAAATACATACATACAACATTCATACCAATATCCACTTATTGGTAGGATTAAACACATTTAAGCATTTTTAGGTTTGCAGTATAATCTTTAGAGCACAGAAGTCTTGATCTTGAAGCTAACTTTGTATTAATGATTTTATGTTATTTCACAGAACGTTAATGTCAATCTTCAATTAATCAATGCTGCCTTGATTATCTTTTAATGTTATTATTGACTTATACATACATTCCTTTAAATACAGAGGCACACATTGAACTGTGCTCTAAAAGATTATTGTCTTAAGTGTCAATTACTGAAACAAAATTGCTTACATGTTATTTAATTGAACCATGAGTGCTAGTTATTTTAGACTCACCAGGTGTCACTAGCTGGGACGTAGGGTGTGAAGTATTTGTTACACAGGGTCAACATAAGTGACAAGTTTCATTTTAAATATTTTTTTCGGTTTCTAATGTATAAAGCTATACCCACAAAATATTATGTAATGATTGCCCTTTTTTTTTGCAGTTTTTAACTTATTTAAATTCTTTAATTTTTGGAATGTCCGTACTTTGGTTTATCTGTTTTAATCTAATTAATATAAAATATAATTTATGTTTTACAAACAATTTAAATTCCCCTCAATGAAACCTGTCAAATATTTCACCTCATTCTAAAGTAACGCCGCCTTGGTGGCAGAAAAAGCTCTCATTTGTGGAATTGCAACAAATAATTCAAACTTATTGCGTCCTTACAAATTAAATAAATCTTAAATAAAATAATAATAGTTACCATTCGGTTTTAAAAGATACAGATATATCTTTACATAATATTATAAAAATAATTTTGGTTATTCAAGTTAGGAGCTCTTCTTACATGTTGCTTGTGATGATTATGATGTTACAAGGGAACAAATCTAAAAATGAGCGAATACTTGACTAAACAAATAATATTTAAATAAGAAGGCTAACAAAAAAGGAAAATAATATATCATTGTTCTTCCAAACCCGTCAACTTATGTCTTGCCAATCCATTTCTCAGGTGTGGCAACTATGGCAAATATTCCTTTTATAAGGCAATGTATGGCTTGAATAGCAGTGGATTTTTATGGGCTGTAATGAACAAATAATTAAATTGTTCTTTGTTTTGAAACTTTACAAATAATAAAATAAAATAGTTTATTGATATAAATTGAACAAAAAAAGAGAAGGTATATATTTATATCAATAGATAAGTACCTTTTTAGCTGTCTTAAAGAATAGGTGGTTTTGTAGGTATTAAAAAAAAATTCGGTAATTATAGTTTGTAAATGATTAATTTATGACTTTTAACAAGGGTTACATACTTTGTGTTAACTGATAGGATTCAAAGAGAATGTAATCACTATTTGTATTAATAGGTGCAAGATGGATATAAGATTTAAACGGAATTCAATAATAATAACTAAAAAGTATATAATTAATAATTTAAAATACGCATTCAAAGTAAAACAATAAATATACACACATTTATTTTATATTATACATATTAATAATAAATTTATGATATACAGAATGTCCCAGTAATGGTGGATAATCTGGTATGTACGTGTTCGGGCGGGGGGAGGTGGCCTCGGTTCCCTAAAAAAAAATTCTATCCCGAACGGTTCGCGGTCTACGCCATGTTTTATAAAATTGTTTTAGAATTCTTATGATATAGGCAAACTTTTTAAATGGTTGGTCACACAGATCCTATACGTTTTTTTTTCACCACAGGTGCTCAAACTTAGCAGTTAAATAAAGTAAAAAATTTAAACTTATGTTTAGTGCCGTCTTGTAAAATACAACCCATAGTAGTTGAAAATTTTTAAGGATAATTTAGAAACATCATTATTAGGGAACACATTAAAAGAAAAAATCCGATTTAGGCATTAAACTGCGGACGTGATGACCACAAATGTGAGCAGAAGTACGAATTTTCGTAATTTTATAAAACATGGCGTAGAACCCCACCCCCGCCCGAACACGTACGTACCAGATTATCCACCATTACTGGGACAACCTGTATATATATATATATATATATATATATATATATATATATATATATATATATAGTTAGATTTATAATAAATGTAATGAGGATAGATCCTTCTCCTAGAAGATAGAAGTATGGTAATTTTACTATTTTAAGTAATTTAAAAAAAATCCGATAAACTGTATCCTATTTTAAATCTATCATTTTTATTTTCGAAGAGAGCAAAGGCAGCATAAGTTTTGTCACAGTTTTGATAGTGATTTAATGTTTATACAGAACGCTCATTCCACCCGACTTGAAATTCATTGAAGACTTCAGTATACCTAGTCTGCTCGGTGAGAGTTGATGAATATTATAAAAATGTCGCAATAGCGACTGTCGCTTAAGTATTGCAAAGTATTACAGGCGTCTCTTATCGCCGCAAGCACAGAGGTCTTGTGGTGCAAGGCTCGCAACTGTTGTATTACGCGAAGCCGGGCGGCCATATTGACAATTATCAGCAAAAGTAATTCGCGGGCCAAAATTGTAATAAGTTTAGGATCCCTGCATTTTTTATCAACTCTCGTTGACCAGACTATACACATAAAAAATAAAAATACGCCGACAGATTTGATATCGAAACTAAATCATCAATGATTAATTTAATAAAACATAAGACAAATTAAATTAATAATAACTATTATTGAGGTAAATTGAAATGAAAGTTTAAACTATAGTAAAGTTGTTATACGAATTTTTATAACTCCGAACCTAAATCTCATGTTCCTGAGATAGACTGATACCATAACAGGTCATGGCTTCTTTAACAAGCATCTCTTTGCTTTTTATGTTACGGAAAGCCATTTGTGCGGAGCTTGCATGAGACACGAAACAACGGCGGCCTACGTTCCACTTGATTGTCCAGCGATGGCCAGCTACAGAGAGACTAAGTACTTTGGATCGTAGAGGTCATTGGTAATGTAAAGAAATTATTAACACTCGAGGCAGTGTTACCAACTCGAATTTTTCGAAATCCGTAGATGGGTATAAAAAATTCCGTAGAATTTTGTAGATGCTTTTGTTGTATGTTCAATTGTAGTATAACATCGAATCAAGTTGCACATAAGAAAAAGATTAAAAATTAATTGTGTTCTTTTAATTAAATTATGTTTAGTAAAAAACAAATAAAATAATTAACACTTAAATATTTGCGCATAGTTATACTAACAAAATTACTTCGACTGTTAAAAAAAATTTTTCGAATATTGTTTGTAGGCTAAGTTCACACTCACAATAAAAAATGTTTTTTTGTCAAGTTATTAAATTTCTAATTATTCTGAAAGGAATGCGAAGTGCAAAAAAAATGAACATGGAAATCAAATTCTGTAGATATCAACTCAAATTCCTTAGTTCCGTAGATGATGAAAAAATTTCGTAGATCTACGAAAAAATCCGTAGAGTTGGCAACGCTGGCTCGAGAAGCTCGGGTGGCTCGAGTAATATATAATTCTTGGCCACACGCAAAAAAGCACTTAGGCGTACCGTGGCGGATACCAGCCTGGCTCAATCAAACAATCAATCCCATGCTTCAATAAAAGAAAATCATAGAAAATTGATACTATCTTCTTAACAATTATGATTATAAACAGTTGCAAAAATTATGTTTCTGTAAAATAAGATAACATAATTTATTGAATGTACTCAAAATTTTTGATTTTTATATTTTTTTGTTTATACAGAAAAGCATAAGAAAAATATATTACGAAATTATTTTTCAAAACAATATGAAAGAGATCAAACAGTTTCAAATATTGCAATTAAGCGTAGATATTTTTAATCAGTTCTATAGCCTAAATAGTTTTAATTGGTTCCCAAAGACAAACAGGAACTTCTTTATTCAAATTAAATATCAGTCAAGAAATAGGAGACATAGCATATGGAGCTATTATTAAGCAGATTCGCCCATCTTTAGTATTAATTACAAACTGTTAAAATAATTCTGTAAAACTTGAAATTGGAAATACGTTCAGAAACACGAAAAAGTTCAAAACAAATCGGGAATGTAATGTATATTGTGAGTCTGGTAATAGCAGTGTTAAAGTTTTCTCTGAACGCATATTTTTTCACACGAAGAGGGTACTGTAATATCAATACAGCCTCTTTCTAGAATGTTCTTGTCTCTTCTGGTACCACATAATACCCAGTACGACTATTACAATGATTACTATGGCTACAAACATCATGTATAGGAAGGTTTTGACTCCGGACATGGCCGGTTTGGAGTCTTCAACTCTATCTCTTGGGGCTTCGAAGGACGCTGCTGATGGAATAATGTTTGACCTGTCTTCATGTTTGTTTTGCTGTAACCAATAGGAATTCATTATTTTTTTGATTTTTAGACTTTTTTATGTGGTAGAGACATGCTGCAGCTATATTAGGAGTATAGTTGTATCACGAATGGGTCGGTTCGACCGGGGAAGGACCACGCTTTCACAGAATACCAGCGTAAAATAGCAGCTTAACACTGCTGTGTTTCGTATAGTGAGAATAGAGAACCAGAGACCCTTTTTACTGCAAAGGAGGCATTCCATCTTAGTCCTCACGGGCGATAACGCATCTGCATTTTGATTCTTTATTGAGGATAGATGTAGACAAGCAACCACTTAACATCAGGTGGACTGTGTGCTTGTTTGCCACCCTGTGCTATAAAAATATATTGGATTCAAATAATGTCACATATACAGTATTTCAAGAAAAGATTGGTAGCTTTATTGAATTTATCAATAGCACAGGCTTCCTTTCAATTCTGTGAGGAGGCCTGTGCCCAGGGTAACGGAGAAGTAATTTGTCGTGTTGCTCCAGAGAATGTTAGATTACTTCAAATATCCTTGAAAATATTTTATATCTCAAACACTTTGTTTTACAAAATTGTTTAATATTGTACCGTCTTTAACTTACTCTTTAGTGCTGCTCAACGTGGTTCGATATCGGGTTGATCGCTGTACTATTTATTAAACTTAAAACATTCTTTTATATTAAAGACAAGAGCTTTTCCTCCGAGTTACCATGGATCAATAAAAGTACTTATTGTTCTTAACTACCAATATCTGTTGTAACAATAACGCAATAAAATCTGGGGTGATTTCGTATTTCGATAATGATTACTGTTACAATTACTGTAATATAATTATTATGATTTGGTTCGTAATCAATCGAAAAGTTCCCCAAATCTGGTTTTTGAGCTACCTAACGGCTGTCCGATTGTTAGTGTGCGGGCCCCTTTTTCTAACTGCTTAGCTCGTGTCGGTCGATATACTGGGGAGTGTTAACTGCCCAGGAACGAGGGTGTACGGTATGTACGCCGTGGTTTTGATTATTATAGTGAATGAGTAATCAAAATAACTATCTTGATATAGATTAATCAAATGTGTATTGTGTTACGTATGGTGCGTCGTAAGAATCAATCTCAATTTCCTAGTATTGAGTTCCACGTCACGGCAGAAAGAACTAAAGATTTGTGTGTGTGTGTGTATAAATATTGGTTTCATCTGGGATCCTATAAAAATATAAAAAATTCTCACCGATTCCAGAAGATCAAGTTCATACATCTTAATAGCAATAATGTCATGGTTGTCACTCAAGTCTCCAGTAGTTGCAGAAGCACCGAAGAAATAACCTGTCGGTAACAATACGTTCTCCACCTTCAAGCATTCCTTCCAAGCATTCTTGCCTTCCAAGTCCGTAGATACTAGAAAATAATAAGTATTTTTATGTTTAATATTATTTCATCAACAAAAAATGGGAAAGAAAGATTCTGGAATGACAGCCTTGTATAAGGTGTAGCACAACCTTCTACTTGATCTCTACCTGATGAGACATGTCGTAATGAGTCAATGGATTCAGAGGACTCGGGAATATGCTTTGAGGTAGATTTTCAGATAGTGACTTGTGTGTTTGTGTAGTCCTTAGAACGTGAGCTATAGATTAGATACCCAGTTTCAACAAAAATATTTATTTCAATTTGAATTATGACTTTTTATTGTGTGCAACACTGATAGTAACGGAAATCCTGCATGTATGAGACGTGATGTGAAGCAGCCTACACTATAAATATAAACTGAATTAGGCCTATCTTAACTTAATATACTAATAATGTCAACTGCAGTAATATTATTTATTCTGGCATTGAGGACTGTCTAATTAAAGTATAAGTAACTAGCTGTTCCCCGCGACTTCGCCCGAGTGGAGTTATTTTTCGCGGAACCCTAAAATAAAAGCAGCCCAAGTTACTCCTTATAACATCAGCTATCTGCCAGTTTGTATAAATAATATATGACGCCTATATATATATATATATATATATATATATATATATATATATATATATATATATATATGTAATGAAGAATGAATAAAAATGCATTGATTATTAAAGAAAAACGTCATTAAACGGTTTTTAGGGTAGGTGAAGGCTCACCTTCACAACTGAAAAAAAGTAACATGATTACTCTCAAGTAATCATGTTACTTTTTTTCAGTTTCTTAGTCAATCCAGTTTTTTCACGATGTTTTACCACTGAAGTAATATGTACTATGTACTAGAAAAGACACTGCGAACAAAATCTCTGGGGCTGTGTTGGGCTCGAGAAAGTAGACACAGAACACTATTATGGCACACATACTAAGTAAATTTGAGACCATAGACTCTAACACGTGTTGCAAACAACCAATTCTCGTCGTGTCGTCGTCTCGTCATCTGGTCATCTCGTAGTCTCGTCATCTCATCTGGTCATCTCGTCATATGGTCATTTCGTCGTCTCCTCATCTGGTCATCTTTTCATCTCGTCGTCTCTTCATCTCGTCATCTGGTCATCTCATCGTCACGTCATCTCGTCGTTTCGTCATCTAGTCATCTCATCGTCTCGTCATCTGGTCATCTTTTCATCACGTCGTCTCGTCATCTCGTTGTATCTTCATCTGGTCATCTCATGGTCTCGTTGTCTCGTCATCTCGTCGTCTCGTCATTTCATCGCTCTTCTAGTACATAGTACATATACGTGGTAAAGCCACGCCGCAGCTATATTAATAGTTGTAGCACGAATAGGTCAGCTCAACCGGAGTTGGACTACGCTCTCAGAGAATACCAGCTTAATGTTGCTGTGATTCGTATGGTGGGTGTAGCGAACCGGCGATCCATTTTACTGGAAACAAGGCATTCCATCTTAATACTCAGGGGTCACAACACATCATATGCATTTTGATTTATAATTGAGGATAGATGTATGTAGATGTCTATGGGTCACAGCATTCACTTACCATCAGCTGCGTTGTGTGCTTGTTTATCACCCTTATTCTATAAAAAAATATTAATTCAATGTGTTTCATAGAGATAATAATAATAATACTTACCGATAAGCGTATCGTCTCTGTAAACGATGGAGAGGTGCGTATCGTGGTTGAAATTACGAAACTTCGCCTCGCAGCCGGCCAGTTGCGTGTGCGTGCCGTCCCGGTCGTGATCGTAGTGCAGCGTGCCGTTGTTTATCATGGCCGAGATGTAAGGGTGCTGATGCTGTAAACGTGGGCAAAGAAATTCTTTGGTAGAGTAATCCTACCTTAGTAACGTAACAAGTTAGTTAGTAAGCTGTGTGTGTGTTCAAGTCAAAGTCAAAAAACTCATGCCCACCGCTTCATCAAGTTCCTAGTGCAGGAAACTTTACGAGAAGAAGCAGCAACTGTTACAATATTAATTTTTTTTAAGTTTTTCACACGTGGTATATTATGGTTGCAACACGAATGGTTCGGCTCGACCGGAAAGGGACCACGCTCTCACAGAATATCAGCGTAAAATAGCAGTTCAATACTGCTATGTAATACCGATACAAGTCCCAAGTCCGCCATGCTTGTCTATTCGGAGCACCCTGACGTATTTAAGTGTAAATAAGTCAGTGTGTTCCTCAAATAACTCCCCAAGTGCAAGCCCAGAATTTGCATAGGCTTGGAGATTGTGGACGCTTGCCGAGACTTTTTTTTTATAGGGTAAGGGTGACAAACGAGCACACAGTTCACCTGATGGTAAGTGGTTGCTGTGGCCCATAGACATCTACATCTATCTTCGATTAAGAATCAAAATGCAGATGCGTTGGCAGCCGTGAGGACTAAGATGGAATGCCTCTTTCCAGTAAGAAGGGTCTCCGGTTCTCTACACTTCACCAAACGAAACACAGCAGCGTTAAGCTGCTATTTTACGCTGGTATTCTGTGAGAGCGTGGTCCTTCCCATTCGTGTTGCTTATATAGCTGCAGCATGGCTCTACCACGTATATAAATGTGGTCTATGTTGGTAGTGGCATATGTAATCGAAGTCTATGAATACAATCAATTAATATAAACGATGAAACAAGTTCGTTCGTAAACATAATGAGATAGTGTCTTAACATTACCGTCATCTACTGTCTAAACTCAAAACCAACAGACAATACCAACATAATAATAACATCTTCCAGAAACTTCACCATGTTACGAATCTAACATACCGTAAAGAAATTTGTTATAATACCATTTTATGTATTGGAAAATATATAACAGTATTTGATATATTGGTTTTGGTTTGTTTCCATTGTTTATATATTTGTTCATATATTTGGTTCCATTGTAACGACTGCCACAATAAATGAAAAAAAAAAAACTTACAAAATACGTTACTTATTATATTAAGTACTCACATTATGAGCACCATTATGGTTGCTGTAGGTATCTAATACAATGGCCAGTCCGTGGAAGTAGTCCTTGCTGCCGAACACTGGGCCGTGCTGCATCCGATCACGGGTGTACCATATGGCGAAACCGTCGCCAAACAGGTCTTTTCCACGTCCGTGCACTTTGAACTGCACTTGAAGCTCCCAGTTCCGCGTGTGGCATGGCTGTTGAAGAGAGAAAGAGAGAGAGTTAGTGAGGAAAGAAAAAACTCCATGTTCATCTCCAAGTTTTTAATGTTTGCATTGTTGCACCGTGTAGTGGCAGTGTAAGAATATCCACTATCCCATATCGTCCCGTGCGTCGTCGTAGTACGAGGGTGACACTGAAAGTTGTTAGAAAATCAAAAACTGAACAAACTAGCAAGTTATTAGTTTTATTATATCTATTCAAAATAGTGTCCATTTACAGCAATACATCGCTGCATCCGATGGAACCATTGGGAAAAGCACTTTGCCTACTTGCCCTTAGGGGTCTCTTCGACGGTATTTTGAAACGCAGCCACTGCTTTCTCGGCGTCCATAAAACGTTTACCTCGAAATTTTTCTTTTATTTTCGGAAATAAATAAAAATCGCAAGGTGCGAGGTCGGGGCTATAGGGCCGCTGACCCAGTAATTTCACGTCTGAGGTTCCCAGGTAGTCGATTGTTTGCTTGGCAGTGTGCGACGAGGCGTTGTCGTGGTGAAGGAGGATATCCTACTGCTAGGTCGTTTCTCCCGAACTTTTTCCAAGACAAGTGGCAAACAATTGTTAGTGTACCACTCTTCAGTAACTGTTTACGATCCTCTAAAACAATTGTTGCGTAATGACCAGTCCTTTCGAAGAACGAGGCCACAATCTTTTTTCCCACGCTCCGACCTCTCTTCACTTTAGTTGGCAACTCCTCGGAAGGAAACACCCATATAGCAGAATGTCTCTTAGTTTCAAGGATCATAACAATAAATCCAGCTTTTGTCACCCGTAAGTATGTAGAACACAGCATTTGAGTCAACTCCGTTAAATCTTTGATCCATTTCACGACACAAATTAACACGACCGAGTTTTTGGGCCTCTGTCAAATTATGAGGTATCCACCGGGCACAAAGCTTCCTGACCGCTAAATATTCAGAGGATTTTGTGCACTTGACTCATACCGATGCCTAAGCTTGCCCGAATCTGCTGATAACTCACTCTTTTGTCAGTCTCTATCATACGCCGCACAACACTGATGTTATCTTCAGTGGTCACCGTAGAAGGCCGTCCCTCACGAAGATTATCGGTGAGATTAGTGCGACCACGTTTAAACTCATTAAACCAGTTGTAAACAGTGGCACGAGATGGGGCTTCATTGTGAAATGTCAATCGAAGTCTAGCATAACTTTGTTGTTGCCTTAAATGACATCGAAAGTCATAAAAAATCATTATACGAAAATTTTCTCGCGTTAAATTCATGCGCTGACGGGACACAGACAATTTTCAATTTACCGCCAAATCATAAACAAATGACAAATTAATAAAATACATACACAATAATATTGGCAAAGAGTTCCATTTTTAAAATTTGAACTTATTTTTTTACTATATCGTTTACAAGTGGCCAGTTCTAAAAACTTTCAGTGACGCCCTCGTATCATCCAGTATGAAAGCATTATACTTATAAGGATCAAATCGAAGAAAAACGAGCTAATTACTTTTATCGGACCAAACGGTTTGAAATAAATGAATACAATTTATGACAAAGTAACTACAACTCTTAAAAGCATAATGGTTATTTCATCACTATCGGCCTTCCTCATAAAAATCAACGTCATTTTATAAAATGCTTAAAGTTCCTCTCTCTCTCTCATCAAAAATTGCAAAAGAAGGAGACGTATAGAGAATTAATTCATTATTACCTAATAATTATAAGGACGTATAATGTATTTTATATTTGTGAGTATTTATTTATATATTATGTGTGAGTGTAACTTGACTGTATAGCTTCCCCATATCATCCCATAGGTGTCGTAAGAGGCAAGAGAGGGAAACGAATCTGGACATGGCCAGCAGCGTCTTTTGAATGACGATTAAAATAAATAAAAACCGGCCAAGTGCAAGTCGGACTCGAGCATGAAGGGTTTTCGTACAAGATTTAATACTATGTAGGTAAAAACAAGTTTCTAGTAAGATAGCCCCCCCCCCCTTTAATTTTTATTATTTGTCGTTATAGCGGCAACAGAAATACACATTCTGTGAAAATTGGAACTGTCTACCTATTACGGATCATGAGATGACATGACATTGACATAAGACGGACAGCGGAGGCTTAGTAATAGGGTCCCATTGGTTACCCTTTGGGTACGGAACCCTAAAAACTGCGGTTGCCAACCCGCCTGCCAAGCGTGGCAACTATGCAAATATCGCCCCTATGAAGCGATCTATTGGGGATGCCTATGTTCAGCAGTGGACTTTTGATAGGCTGTATGCGTAACGTTAAGTTTGTTATATATTCATAGTAAGTTTCACCTATTACAGTTCTTTACAAGTCCACTGTTAAACGTAGGCCTACCCCAGCGAATGCCGGTCACGGACTAACACGGTCACGAGCCACCTGCATCCAAAGGACTATACTATACTGCATATCATAATAAATGTTGTAATTTAGGTGGCCGACTACTGGGTTTACTGTGTAGATCCAGTACTCAGCCATAAGTGGCGGACTACTGGTTTTTTTCGTCATTTTCTTATATGTAGTTGAAATTAACGGAACGAATATTTCCAATTTTGTTCATTATATTGGGTTTAACTCTTATGAAGCGAAAAGTGTATTTTACCAGTAGTCAGCCGCGTACAAAATTAATGTATTTACATGTTAGGGACCGACCAATGGGTCTACAAATCCAGTTGTCAGCCCTTAGTCATGTTGTACAAAATAGTACCTTAAATTCTTTCTAATAAGGGTTAATTTATGCACGGTTATTTTAGCACGGATATCATTCATTTTAGAATTCAATCATGTCAAAAAGACCTATTCACCCAACAAAGAAGAGCAATTAACACACAGGCTATGGCGGCGATTAGAAATGGGATGAAAAAAATAGGAGCTATTTCTTTGGAAAAGTGAGACGATTTTAGAAACTAAAAGTAGATGTGAAGCAACAGAAAAAGAACGACATATTGATTAAAAAAAATAAGAAAGCTTTGAAGCTAAAATAAAGAATTTTATATTCTGTTTTTGAATTCTATTTTCTGTAATGTAAGTGCTATTAGCCTATGCGGCTTTACATCTTGATCTAGCACAGGGCTTAGGCCTGCAAGGCCACGAGCTATGGAACTATGCAAAAGCAATGATGGGGATGAGGATGATTTGGTATTGTTACCAATCCTCATGTCTCCTCTGTTGAGGTTTATTTTTGAGCTATCTAACCCCTGTCCGAGTGGGGGTATGCGAAACTCCCCTCCTTTGACCGCTTAGCTCGTGTCGGACGATGGTCTGGGTGGTGAGAACCGCCCACCGAAGTAAAGAAAGAAGAATTACAAGAAAAGGAAAGCGGAAAAGCTGTTGAATTCTAAAAATTGTAAAAAGAGGAAGAAAAATACAACATGTACAATAAACAGAGTAAGATGCAAAAACTGTGAAGAGGAATTGACTAGCGACACAGAAATAATTGACTTAAAGAATATTGGTTGTAAAAATTGCCTTGCATGGTATCATTTGAAATGTACTGAATTCGCTGTTGACATATATGAAAATATACCTAGTACAGAATTTCTATGCCAAATATGCAAGAATAAGTGGTAGGCTGACTAAAGGGTAACACATGGCTGAATTACTGGTGAAAAGTGCCATCATTTGTTTAATGTTGATTTTTTAGGTATATAATTCTATTATAAATATAATATGAATAAATGTGACTTCTTTAGTAAATTTAATAAACGACCTTTCCGAGAATAATGCTTGTTTTTATTCATAATGTTTAATATTTAAAATACAGTTGAATAAAATTTCCGTCATCACCAAAAGGCTGATTACTGGGTGTTTTACCCTAATATGTATATTATACATATGTAATAGGTATTCCATTCGCTTATGTATTATTTAGACATGTAGTAAATATATTTTTTTTCTTGTTCTATGTATCTTCGTAGTGTTATCACTCCTCTAATATAAAAAAGTAACTTGATGTCATTTAAATAATCCGTTTGATATTGATTATTCCTTTTGTCTGAAATATTGTTCCTGCGAATTATTAGTATATATATTTTTATATAGAATTATAATGAGAGATATATCATATTCTTAAAAACAAGTACCTACGCATGAAAGTAAATGTTTGAGTAATGCAATAAATTTAGAAATTATATCAATAACGTCGCATAAATATAAGCGTCAGTAGCCTAATGGCAGGGCGCGGACCGCGAACTCGGAAGGTCGTGGGTTCGAATCAACCATTCGACTACTGTCGTGAACCACTTCTAACACAAGCATTTTAAGCTTACCAGAAGTGGTTAAAGGGAATATTAGTAATGTTTAATAACATTACTAGTATTTTTTTAATAATAAAATATATATATATATATATATATATATATATATATATATACATCATATGTAGTAAATATGTTTACGCAGTCTCGAAATACTTTACAACACAATTGCGGCGTAATGGACTCACTGTTATTTGCAATTCTTATTCAAAAAGCACCTGCGACGGAGCTGATCTATAAGTTTTCGGAGTAGGGCGCTTATTAATTGAGTTTAGAAATGAGATTCAATTAGAGATGAGATTATTATGCATCATTAATCAAAAAAACTACGCGTAGAACTAAAGAATAAACGTCGAGGAAAATTGCGTGCTGGAGTATCGATCTGATGTTGCAGACGCTGACATCCGAACTGCTGGGTTTCATTTCATGCAGCACCTACCATATTCTCCGGATAAGCTCAGTGATTTTCACCTTTTACTCACGCCAAAAAGCACTTGCGTAGATAAAATTTGACGGCGACTATGATGTGATGTGTGTTGTAGAGACCTTTTTCGAGTTCCAGGATCAAGCCGTTTTTCCCAAGGGAATTAAGCAATTTGCTAAACGCTATTCAAGGTGTATTAGTTTAAAAGGCGATTACGTTCAAACATAAATACAATTTACACATACTTATCATAGAGTTACATCGCGTTTCTAAATATTTATTGATAAACCTAGTAC